ATGCAAGTAGAACTCTCAACGAGCATGAGTTAAATTATTCAACGATTGAAAAAGAATTATTAGCAATCGTTTGGGCCACTAAATACTTTAGGTCCTATCTCTTTGGTCGACAATTTCAAATCCTTAGTGATCACAGACCACTCGTCTGGTTAAATAATATGAAAGAACCTAACATGAAATTACAAAGGTGGAAGATCAAGCTAAATGAGTTTGATTTCCAAATTAAATACGTCCCAGGAAAAGAAAATTATGTGGCAGATGCTCTGTCCAGAATTCAATTAAACGAAAACTTCTTAGGCGAAGATACAATTAGCACAAGAGCAACAATACATAGTGCTCAAGAAGACAACAGTAACCATTTACAAATCACAGAAAGACCACTTAATTATTATAATCGACAAATAGAATTTGAAAAAGGAACCGAGAACGAAACAAAAGTTACGAATTACTTTCACAAAACCAACATAAAAATTACGTACAAAGACATGACTAATACGCATGCCAAAGAATTAATAAAAGAATACTTATGCACAAAGAAAAGTGTGCTATACTTCCACAACGAAGCAGATTTTCCAATTTTTCAAGAAGCCTACTTAGAAATAATAAGTCCGAATAATTCAACAAAGGCAATGAAAACTAGTACAAAATTAATAGACCTTCAAACATACGCAGAATTCAAAGAATTAATATTAAAAAAGCACAAAGAATTATTACATCCAGGAATTGAAAAAACTATCAATTGGTTCAAAGAAACCCACTATTTCCCAGATTATCAAAATCTAATTCAAAATCTAATAAATGAATGTGAGATTTGCAACATCGCAAAAACAGAACACAGAGATACAAAATTAACTTTCGAAATAACTCCGGAAATCGCTAATATCCGAGAAAAATATGTAATGGATTTTTACATAGTAGGAGATAAACAATTTTTATCTTGCATTGATATCTATTCAAAATTTGCATCATTAATAGAAATAAAAAGTAGAGACTGGCTAGAAACCAAACGAGCTATATTACAAGTGTTCAACCAAATGGGTAAACCCATCGAAATAAAGGCAGACAAAGACTCAGCTTTTATGTGCACAGCTTTACAATTATGGCTAAAATCAGAAGCAGTAAATATTAATATAACCACTAGTAAAAACGGTATATCCGACGTAGAACGATTTCATAAGACAGTTAACGAAAAACTAAGAATCATTAACAGCGACTCAGACGTCGAAAATAAACTTACAAAATTTGAAACTATACTCTACACGTACAATCATAAAACAAAGCACAAAACGACTAACAGAACACCAGCGGACATATTCATATATGCAGGTACACCAGAGTATGACACTCAAGCTAATAAAGAAAAACTAATAAATAACCTCAACAAAAACCGAAGAAACTTTTAACAATTTAATTGAACAAAGTAAAGAATTCAATAACCTTATACAAATCGAATACCTAGTAGAAAAATTAAACAGAGAAATAAACGGCTTAAAAATAGCCAAACGTAGCAAAAGAGGTTTAGTTAACATAGTAGGAACAGCATATAAATACTTATTTGGAACATTAAATCAAGAAGACAAAGCAGAAATTGAACAAAAAATAAGCAACTTAGCAGAAAACAGCGTTCAGGTTAACGAATTAAATTACATAATAGAAGCTATAAACAAAGGAATAGAAATCATGAACGAACTAGATCAAGAGAAACAAAAAGGAAAGAAATTAGATATCCTTATATTTAACTTACAACACTTTACAGAATATATAGAAGACATTGAGATGGGAATGCAGCTCACAAGATTAGGAATTTTTAACCCAAAATTACTAAAACATGACTATTTGTTGCATGTTAATTCTGAGAAATTGTTGAATACAAAAACTTCCACTTGGTTTAAATCAGATACAAACGAAATACTGATAATATCCCATATTCCTCGAGAAATAATAAAAAGCCCGGTATTCGAAATAATTCCATACCCGGATGAAAATAATAATATTTTGACAGAAATAGCTCATGAAAAATATTTTACCCAAGATAAAAAAGTTTATAGCAGAGAAACAAAAAAATTAATTAATAATGAATGTTTAACAGGAATTTTAAACCAAATAACATCAGAATGTAGTTATACTAAAATTTTGCAAAATTTTCAAATCAACTACATAGAACCAAATATAATTTTAACTTGGAATTTACCAAAAACTATATTAAACCATAATTGTATAAATAACGAAATAACAATAGAAGGAAACAATATAATAAAAATCTTTAATTGTTCATTGCAAATTAATGAAATTTCAATTTCAAACAATATGTTAGATTATACTCAAAGCATTTACGTAAGCAATGATGTTATAAAATTAGAACCACTTTCGTTTGTACAAACGAAACAAATTATAAATGCACATACAAAATTTAACAATGTATTCCAGATAATTACAATAACCATATTTGTAATCATATTAATAAGTTTAACACTGTATTTGACATATAAGTTCAAAAGCATACCTAAGAAATTAATTATAAAATATAAAAAACCCAAAGTAGAAGAAACACCTACAATAATAGGAGATATACCAATTCTAAAAGAAGAAAATGTTACACTATATCCAAACTTAAACACCTGAGGACAGGCACTTTTCTAATGGTTGGGGGAGTGACATATCCATAGTCGCACCCACCCTTTAACATAACTTAGCACATAAGCATAAGCACAATTATAAACATTTCTAATATTGTAAACAAAGAGCCTGGTGATAACATCGACATTGGTCAAGATCAAACTGTCCCCCTTTGGTAGACATAAACAATTCACCCTAAATATCACGCCACTGTCAATGTTCCCATCAGAGTACTATCCCACGCATAATTGCTGACGCAGCTCAAACTTCACTCAATTTTGACTCAAACTCTCTCAAAGCGAAGTTTGCTAAGCGACCGCAACAGTTAGATAAATCAGTTCATATTCGGGAAGCAAATCTGAATGTACTCAACAAAAGTAGCCGTTAAGTGAAAATAATAAATTGAAATATATTTTTTTATAGTAACCTAACGTGTAAAACTTAATTATATATATAAATATATATAAAGCGTACATATAGAGAATCAAACTAAATTGATTGTTGGTCCTTAAGATGTTTAAGGTTGCCGTCTTATCTAACAATGTGTTGTTCCCGCTTGGCATTCAACATTTTGCAAGGTGGTAACCCTAAGCAGAGCCAATGATTGCAAACTTGTTTGTCCAATATATAATATAATAATCGTGAGTTTTTATTTATGAATTATGTTGTTGCTTATAAACAAGTACATTTCGATAATTTTGTTAGTTCTTATGCTTTATTCTACCATCTATTTGTAAACGTAAGATTGTCTTATCATGTTCTAGAAATGTAAGATCAGCCTTGAACACGCATTCGGGCATATAGTTGGGAAAGTCGGTCTCTTCCAGACTCCAATTGTTAAGCGTGTAGTTAAAGTGCTGCCAGTGAAATGAGCGAAATACACATTCCAAATGAAATGAGATAATAAAAATAATTCTGGTATACCTATACCTACCGATATAACCGGACAATTTAGACTACCGTGTATGGCATTAGTTAGACTTTTCACAAACACATTAAACAGAAGATTCTTGTGAAGAGTGTCAAAAAATTGACAACCATCCAAGCGTACATTAAAGAGACGCATTGTCTTATTGTTTGTCTTCAGCATGTCCAGGGTTGCCTCTACGTCCACCTGATCAACATTGCGCCGAAGGATCATATTACAGTTGACAAAGCGAGATCGGTATACTTCACAATTGGCTTCTTCGAAAAGATCCTTGACCATCAGCCTGATGGCAAACTCGTTTATGAAAATACGAAAATTGGGTTGCTGCGTCTTCCCATGCACCATCACGAGGGTTGGCAACCCGAAACAGAACCAAAACCAAAGCCAACTAACCATGGTGAAAGCCCAGCTTAAACTGTTCACTGGACAGCTCAAAAATATCAGATATTACACAAAATACACGTTGTCTATTCGAATTATGTTCTAATTGGGGCAATTTTGATATACTGATTTTAACAATAATTAGACAAAATTTAAATAAAATAAAATAAATAAAAAACTGATCTAATATTGAAAATTGAAATGGAGTCAGGTTGGCCATTCAAATTTTAAGTTTCATTTTAAGATGTGTTTTAAATATATAAGGAAAATTTGAGGCTAAAAAAGTTTAATCCAAAATAATTGTTGAAGTAAATTATAAAACTTCTGTTTTGATCCAAAGATGTTTAAGTCAAACTTGTTTACTTTGTAGATTTTTTCAATTAAATAGTTCTAGAAAATCAGTTTTAAAAATTTGCACCAAATTTTGGAGTTATCCGATTGCTGGCGACGGTTTATATATGCTCCGTAATATGCATGTTGGCAACATTTTTTGTACTATTCCGACAAATTTGTAAAACATTGCTAAATTTTACGTAGAAGTCGCGAACCGTGTACCAGGTTTTTGCTATTTGCTTTTATAGTCGTTGTTGAAATAGGAGCAAAGGTTCCTTTTGAATTGAAAACATGCTCACGCGGCAAATGTATCCATCTAAGCGAGCATTTTAACCTGATTTGTGGACTTACTAAGATTAAAATGACCAGAGAGCTACGATTGCCTTTCTGCTCGATGCACAGCTGAACACGAAAATCATTCGCAGTTATAGTTTGGACGAATTTTTGCGCTGCCAAAAAATGTTTTTAACACCAAATGTTTGTTTTTTTTTTATAGAACATAGATCGTTCCAGCTAATTAGGTTTAACATAATCATTTACGTAACTATGTCATTATATATAGTTTTATGGGGAAGACGTATTTTGAAGCTTCTTGCAAATTCCCTTACTTCAGTGGAATATGGGTGATTATTTTCGAGTAAAAACATGCCGCTTTTCTTACAATTTGTTTGAATGCAATTCTCATGCGTATCATAAACAAAAGTCTACACACCATATGTGTGACTAGTTCCCTTAAGTCGCATTGTTTGCCACCAAAAAGCGTGTATATATTTTACTTCTTTTCTTTAAGGCTTTAAAACTGGTGTTAAAATTTTACACGAAACTTTGGAGTTGGCACTTTGCTTGCAACGGGAGTTATATGGCCCGAAATAAGGACCTGGGCCAAGTGTTTGGTCTTATTCCGAAATTCCAGCTTCAGAAAATAACTGCACTCTGGCAGTAATTCGGGCAGAATTCGCTCATCTATGTAGCTGCGCTGCAGTGAATAGTTGACGTTCTAAATGCAACAAAATAGTTATTTTATAAGGAACATTCATATATTTATTTGCATAGATTTACTTACCGCTTGAAGCGGACAACGTGGTCGAACATTAATAAAGTTGACGTATCTGTTATAAAACTGTTGCACAAATTTGCTTTTATAGTCGTTATTGAAAAATGAGCACAGATCCATTTTCGTAGCGAAGAGGCGCACTCGCGGCAAACTTGGGCGCGAAATGTCCATCGAAGCGAGCATCGAAATCTCATTGATGGGCTTACCCACGATCAAATGCCCGGAGAGATAGCTACGATTTCCATCCTGTTCAATGCTGGTGCTCTGCGATACAATCAATTCCCGATCCTCGACCTCAAAATTAAACTGATCCACGCGCACCAGATATTCAGCCAGTGCACTGCTGAGCACAAAGATGATCACGAGACAGCACCAGATCCGCAGCAGTTCCATTTTGTCCATGTTTAATAGTTCTAGTGCTGGTAGAAATGTTTTTCTGACACAAATTTGTCTACAGCACGTCATTAGGCCGTGCCAGCTAATTGTTTTTTAATTGATGTACAATAATAATTAATGTAATTAAATTTAGACGTATCTCAACATTTTCGGCGAATTCACTTCCTTGAGCGAAATATGCGTGAATGTTTTCCATTGATGTGGGTGAATTTGGCTAAAACCGTGTTTGGATATTCAATCCATAAGCATTTTTTTCCACTCACTGTTATTGTATGTTACTTTCATCTTTTGTATTTTGTTTGAAACACTCAAATTTTCATATAACAATCACTTGAACCACTGTGCGGGCCTTTGAAGCGACTTAAAACATGCGCGGTAAATGAAAATGCCACGTATATGAAAGATTGAGTTGAGAAGGCGGCTAAGTACATATGAAAAGTGTAAAAAAAAAATAAATGCACACCCTCTAAAAAAAAAGGAGAAAAACAGAAAGAAAAAAAACTGAACGCAAAGGATGTCAACAGAAATGTTAATAACACCAGCGTCAGCAATGTTTTTGTTCTTGTTCTTGTTGTTGTTGTCGCTTTATGTACGGTCTCTATTTTACACCAAGTGGTGCAGTGCGTCCTCTAGCACGTAACCCGTAACCCGCAACACCAGGCACCTAAGGATAAGTCCCGGCCGTGCTTTATGGCTGAGCCAAGTGAAGCAAAAAACACTTTCCCGTAAAACAGTAAAGCAAGGCAACAGAAACAGCATCAGCATCAGCAAAGTAAAGCAAAGTAAAGCCGAGTTGAGTGTAGTTCAAACATCACACCTAGCATTGACGACAGACTACAGGGTAGAGTCCAGGGTTTGGCATTTGAAGAGCTGCGGGCGAACTGCGACTAAAACAGCTACTGCGGTTCGTATTATGTAAACATTTGCAGGATTCCTTCTTTTTTTTTTGTTGTGTTTGAAAAATGGGATTGAACTGGCTGTGATATGAGATGTGTAGCTGAAATACTTGTAGATAGCCAGACGCAATGGCGAAAAGTCCTTCAATTGCGATTGTCAAGCGAACTAACTAACGTTAAGTCGAAAACGATTTAATATCTTGGCAGAGTAATTAAAGCTCTACAATATCAAAATCGGATCTTCTTAATTTAATACCCTGTAAGCCAAGTCAAGTAGCTGCAAAAGAGGAGTTTTGAATGCAAGTCCAGTTCCGACTTTTTAATTATATTTTGAGAAAATTACTAAAAAAAATCGTATTAAAATATTAAGCTTATTTATTTGATTTGCCTTATTTACAGCTTGAAATTCGGTTATTGTGTCGAAAAAATGTTTATTTGAAAGTTAATTATAAATATTTTTAGCTTCTTTTGAACTAAAACAAAATTCTGTGCCACACTGAATATTTGTTTATTAAGATTCACGACTAGCCCAAAATCTAATTTCATGGCGTGAAAACCATAAAACAAATAAAAACAGATGCCATAACTAATCCAACGATTCAGTCACCCAGAGCATAGGCCAGCGGGGAGGGGGGAGGGGGAGGGGTCTACGAACACGTTAAAGTAGCGCAGTGTAAACAAATATTTTGACAAATTTATGATGATGGAATTTTAAGTGATTTTTAACGAGCGAGGGTGGGATAAACGGCATGAAGATATATACGATATATCCCATATACTATACATATAAATATATAAATATATGCATATAGTTACATATTCAGCTGTAGAGTTGAGTAGCATATTCAACAACATCTGCAATTGCTGTTGCTTGTCGTCTAATAAAAGCCAAATTGCTTGCTTAAATAAACAGGAGGCTGCACAGTGGAACTCGCGCCGGGGACAAGAATTCAAGATATAAGTTCACAAGCGAGGTTCATGTAACTAATTCCATGAGTGCTAACATAAATTTGATTATAATCGGGGATATTAATTTGCTTACTTAGAGGAACACAAAATAACGTTAGCCCAGCAAAAAGGTAGAAATGATTTTTGAGCACAGTTTTATTTTTCACTTGCACCACTGTGCGCCGCCAACAAAGGGGCAGGTGCAGGCAGATGCAGCTGCTGCTGTGGACAGGGTGGCGGTGGCAGGGTTAAAAGGTAGCCAGAGCGCCAAACATTTATGAATTTACGTTGACTGCACTCACACAGACCGACACGCACACGTACACAGTCGCCAAAGTTAACAAAAGGCCCATTAAGCCCGCTGCTGCCAAATTGCTGTGTCTGCAGCGTCGCCTTATCGCCTCCCCACCACCATGCACCACCATGCCCCGCCGGCTCCATTCACCAAGAGCCAACGCCAAGCGCCACCTGTGCGTCCAACTGTGAAATTTATTGATTCGAGCAAATAGGCTCCATCGAGAACGTCGACTAACTAGCTATAATTAGAGAGCTCCCATTCGCTATATACCATATACAAAAACGACTAAAATCTGCACGACTAATGCATACCCTATCATCACAGAGATAACGTTTGAATAGATAGTAGAGCTACTCACCTGATAATAACTGGCATCATATAAAATCTAGTTATAGGCACATATATTTTTTAAAGCTAAAATTTCTTTGTACTTGAATGCAGATTTTGGCCTCAATATAAGGGCGAGATATAAAATATTTAATGTAAACTTTAACTGTGTGTGATTATTGCACAATTACAATCTGAATATCTGTTTATTAAGAATATATTTAATTAAAATATTCTAGAAAATTGTCACCGAAAATGATCTCAAATTGATTTTCCTACAAGCATGTCTCTCAGTTTTGTAGCCAACTTGATTTTTAGCCTCATTTTTCCGGTCGCTGTATATACTCTATTTATCAGAGCTGGCCGGTTTGTGCCATCATGGCGTATGTACATATAAATAAATAGGTATAGGTGTTTTTTATATATACGTATTTCTAAATCCCACCTAGCCAAACGCCCACAGCAAAGGTGGCTTCTTGCATGCGCGTGATTGACATGCACATTTTCATTGAATTATTAATTACGTAATGCGAAACCAATCGTCTGTAATTTGCATATGCAACGAGCCGCCCACGCGACGCAAATGTTAAGGCTAATTATCAACCCACACTCGACAACCTATATAGTCCACTTATCCGTTTGCGCTTCTTGGATTCAAAGCGGGGTCCGACCATTAATGCAAATTGTTCAGATTTGCATTAGAAATTCGCAATGCTTGGACGGTGGGTAGAATTCCGGATGCGTGTGGTTTTCCAGGTTGGGGGCAATAAGGAAAATGGGCAGCTGAATTATTGATAGCAGATAACTTTAATGACATAAGTCCACACGAAAATGTTTCCTCAAGTGTGGAATATTGTGGAAAATATTCGATTAAAAATGTATTTGACGAATTATGATTTCAACGACTCGCCATTATTTTTAAATATTTTTGTAAAATATTATTGGAGACGGGCTTCGGAAAATTATTTACGCTGTATCAAAAAAAAAATTGTTCAAGGAGGCAGAAGTATATTTTCTGAGATTCACTTAGAAAACGTACAGAAATTGTTAATTAAAACTATATTTAAACAAATTTAAAGTTTTTTTTTTCGGTTTAATATAATACTGTAGTGTACTTAATATATTTAAATCCAGATCCATAAATATATTTATGGCAAGGCTTTTCGTTTTTAGCCATTAAAAATGTACTGCCAAATTTCTTGTGGCAACCTTTGCTTTATTACTTTGGCTGATGCTTGCCTTTTGGTCCGCCAAATGTTTTAGGTTAACAGCAGGAGGCAACTGGCAGTAGCTACGCCCTACTCCCATCGCCCCGCCCCCCTCCCTACTCTCGCCCGCTCTGCTTCTGCCCAACACTTATTTACAAGGTCTTGAGACATGGCTCCATGGTGACTTCAAAATAAAAGATTTTTTTTTGCTGGCTACAAAACGCAGCCAAAACTTGCTGCAACAGCAATAAAAATAAAAATAAAAAAAAATAAAAAAAATGTTTTATATGTAAAGGGGAAATAAAAAAAAAACGACGCCCCAGGCAAAAAGCAATAACAAAATATTATTATCAGAATCATTCATCATGTGGCTGCAGGCCATAAATTTTTCGGCTAGCTGCGAAATGCAACAACAACTAAAATAACAACGGCAGCTAACTGTTAATAAATCGCAGCTGCAGATAGCAGCGAGCAGCTGCCGGCGCCACAGACAGCCACGTTTAAGCCCCTTCCAAACTACCGAATTTTCCGAACCCCCCTACCCCCCTACCCCTACACCCATGCCCAATCCCAGCCCATTACGATTCCGTTTCCCATTTTCATGCCCCTTCCGCACAGCCGCCGCTTGAACTTCCTACAAAAGTTTGGTTTACTGAGTAGTAACTTTTCTAGGGGCGTGGCACAAGCCCTAGCACCGCCCCAAAGAATATCCAGTTAAGTGCCAAGCATTTCTTCGACTGATTAGGCTTGAGTCCACAATTTAAGAATCGAAAATGTTAAAATTACCCGATCTTTAATTTTAGACATAAGCAGGAAGTAACGAGCCGGATTTAACTTTATTTCCTGAACATTTAAAGCTAGTTTGTAGCTAAACAAAACGCAACAATGACAATTTTGCTTAATAACTGTTGATATCAATATAGAAATATAGGCGCAGAAAATAATCCAATTTGCTTAAAAACCATTCCCAAAACGTAAATGTCTTGGTGGGTCCATAAAACGACTGACCAAAGATTGCAAACATCAGGGCAAAGAAACTGAGACACATAAGAAACATTCCTAGGAGACGGCATGGATTTTGTCTGTTGGTGGACTGTGCCATATGTGTGGGTCTGCATATAGAGGAAACTTCCGGATCCCTTCTTAGTTGCTGACGTATATAGAAAAGATCGTTATATATGATCCTGTCGCTCTGCAGCATAATCCATAGCAATTCCCATCGTGTGGGAAGTTTGGTCAAATCGCATTCAAGGCGACGTCCTCTTAGCGGTTCCGCAGTGTAAGTCACAAACTGGATTAGCGGCTGTTGGAACTCCACATGGATTCGTTGAAGCGGCAACACTTTCATTATCTTTATATCGATAAGTTTATCGATACATTCACACAGCTCCTCATGTAGCTCAGAGTCAACATTAGACATAACCCATTGATCAATTGGGGTTTCCGGGATCTGTTTGATAAGGTAAACAGAAACATCTTAAAATTTTAAGCTATTTTAGAATTTATTTTTGGAGAAGAAACCAAATCGAAATCCTGTCTGATTTTTAATTACCTGCTGCAAAGTTTGCTTTGAACATTTTGAATCCTTTTTAAGTGCTGTCTTCGCCTTGAATTGTCTTTTTAAGTCATAAAGCCTTGCCGCCAGCTTCCTGTCACGCTTAGCAGCTTGTATTTTGTAGACAAGGCGTTTTAGCAGCCGTTTCTTTAGCTTTGTGGACTTGACGTTCTTTAACTTGAAATTCTGGTTTACTCGTAAAGTCTTTTTCATATTTCCTAATAATTTAATACTGCGCCGCTTGCTCTCTTGCAGTATCAGTGTTATGGAGGACTTCCGGGCCGGAAGACTTGGCTTTAGTTTCGAATGCAGCAAACGATGCAGCTCGACTCCCGAGTGCGCCGTATTAAACTTTATCTAAGAACAGTTGTCATTTAGAGTTTCATTTGCATATACATTAACGTATTTACCTTTCCCATTGCGTAGTTTTAATAGAATTTTAAAATATATATGAGAAAATATATATACTGATTTATGCTTCAGTATGCCACATGCTTTTAACACTGAGTAAATATTGAGACCTGCATCTGTATCTTAAAATTAATTTAGACAAAGTTTGCTTAGGTAAAGCGTTTTACGATAAATGTATAAAAAGGCAATTCTATGAACCTAAACGTCAGTCGTATGTTCTCAATATGAAGAAAACCTAAGAGTATATGTTTTCCTGGATATAACCTAACTAGACCTATATCTGTCGTAAAAGTTAATAGCTGTACTATTTCCAAGAGATACGAGATTGAAAACGTGAAACTAATTTTAAAAAAAATCCTCTAAAAGAACCAAATTCATATGGTCAAAAAAATAATTCAAATAGAAAATGTGACAATTCTTATAATAATATTTAAAGTTTGCAATCAATTTGCCAAGTGTAATGTTTCTATAATTAACACATAAAAGCTAACATCGAGTATATCGCATAACTTGCATTGATTAATTAACTTTAGTTTGTCTTCTCTTTATTATAATTTTTTTAATTCAAGTCTATGCATTCATCATATCTGTCAAATGAAAAATCCCACTTGAAGTTGAGTGTATTTCGCATTTCCTTTTCGTATTACTCTCTCCCTCGGCCCACCTCTATATATCATTATGCATCATTCATCTTCATCCGTTCACATTGTCATTTGCCTTACTCCATTTGTATCTGTCTGTCTCTGTCTCTCTCTCTCTCTGTCTGTTTGTCTCTCACTCTCGTTTTTTCTCTTTATCTTTTCTCATTGCTTGTTTAATAAATAATTGTCCAGCGTTTAATGCGTTTAGTACATAAATATGCCTCAACTTACATACATATTGCATGGGCGCTTACCATGCCATAACCCATATCCTCCGACTTTCCCCTTTGAGTCAAGCACGAAACATGCACATCGGATGTACTGGCTTACACTGAGAGAAATAAGCTGATATTTTGCATGCAAATAAACTTCAAATATTGTTTTAGCTTGATCAAGCTGGAAATACTTAAACCTATCTTACCTCTCGAAATTTCTGAGGCATAATTCCTAAAATAATGCCAATATTATTCCACAATTATCCATTTTTTTCTATCTGCCCCTTTAAAATTAAAAAGAAAAATTATACAAATTATATTTAAAGCCGGAACCTTGCACCTCGAACCTTAAACATGATATTTATCTAGTCAAGTATGAGAACTTAAAACTGCATTTTTTCTCTGAGTGTGCGCATATGTATTTGCCTGCCAGGTGACCACATGCTGTTCTCGATGCACACCGCCCTGCCCTGCCCTGCCCTGCTCTGGCCACGTGTCCGTCCGTCTCTAACGGCGCATTTGCAACCGCATTGCCAAGCTGTGGCTCTGGCTCTAGCTGCCTGCTGCCTGCTGCCGGCTGCCTGCTGCTCTGCCTGGTTGACCACATCATCAAATGCGAAATGCAAAAGCGACGTAATTGCCACCGCGCCGTCCCGCTCCGCTCCGCCCCGCACCACAGTGGAGTGGAGCCGAAACCAATAAACCTGCATACGTCGATTAGTTGCACATGAATGCAATAACATGGCCCCAAAAGGTGGTTAAGTTGGTGGCAGAGGGGCAGCGTGGGGGGGGGGTCAGGTGTGGAACGGTTCAGGGCAATGCACAGACAGCCGCAGACGAGCCCATTTAAGCCACGTCTTAAGAAGCTTTTGTCTAGGCCATTTTTAGCTAGGCATTCGCATTCGTTGTGGTTCGCTTTGGCTTCAATTTAATTGGCTGACAGTTAGCTTATATCTAAAACTATTTAACAAATGTACAACTATTCAGGGATTATTTAAAATATCAGCAGCCCGTATTCGAATTGGATTTCACTTTAACTCTATCAGTGCAAGAGCCTGGCTTAAACTAATATTTCAAAGGCAAATCAATTGCTAAAAGATCTCCAATAGTTCGTAAAATTAACAAGATTTGATTTTTTCTTAAAATTGCAGACACATAAATTCCATGTTTTGAATCAAACAAATATTATTGTTACGCTAAGTTTTTGAACTTCCTTCGCTTTGTAGATTGTTTCTTTTTTTATAAAAACATGTTATTTTTTGTTTCTTTAGCAATAAACGATAAACGATTTTATTGATACCGTTTATATTCATATATTCAAATTAATTTGGTTTTTATTGTTAATTAACGCATATAAGACGACTATCCTCTTTCAAGATATTGTCAAACTAATCTCTCTGATAGTTATTGATTACGCTATAAAAACTATAAAAAAATATGTTTAAAAAGCTCTATTTATAGATTTGAATCGAGATGATGATTCGAAATATAATCTATCTATATGTGCATTATATGGAAATAATAATAATGTTAATAATATTTGTAACAGAATATAAATGGTAATAGGAAAAGTAACAAATATTTACTAATAATAAATACAAATTAAATGATAAAAAAAAACATAAAAACATATCAAAATTCATCAAAATTCTCCATATGTCTTATTAATAATAATGACTTTTGAAATACAAATAATAATAATAAAAGCAGTGTAAAATAATATTTAAAATATTATAGTTGAAAAATCTGTCTGTGTACAATGAATTTCTGCCCATGGTACATCACTTGGCTTAGGGCTTGACCTGAGCTTAGTGTGCAGTGTCCAGCCAATTGGCCAAATAGCCAAAACGACATATCCATATGTATGTATGTATGTATGTATGTACATATGTTTCCCATGTGTGCCTGGGCATGTCGCCTGGCCACCTGACGCCGCTTGGCTGACCGCTGGCTGTGGATCTGCGACGGTTTTCTGAGTCACAGACCGCAACGGAACGTCGCCTGGCAACAGATTTCAAATATTTGCGTAAACCAAGCGGCGCTTGAACCTTACTTTAGACACAATCTACAGCCCTCGCCACTGCGCGTAAGCGTCACCAAATGTTTGGCTCATTTGCCAGTTTGTCGTAGATGTTGAAGCCGCCTTCACCGCATTCCACGGACCGGCGGCCATGAATTTTGCATTTTCTGTGTGTACGCAAGTATTTTTAGCTGTGTTTGGCCAGGCCTGTGATTCATCAAAAAGAGCGGCGACAGCTGACAGGGCCCCGACGGAGCTAACAGAAACCGCAACGCATGGAAATGAGATTAACAAAACTAGAGAGACACACAAGTCGAGACAAAGGCAATAGAACAGCAATCCCAGCGTGCGCCCGCCCCTCCCCCGGCAAGCCGCGCTTTCATGCGTCAGGGGAAACACCTGAGGCGCTCGGCGAATTGCCGATGCTCATTAACTTTAAACCGAAGCAGTTGACAAAGAATACACAAGAGAATAGAAGGTGGGAGGCAAAGAAAACAAACCGACGTCTAAATGCTCTGCCTGAAATTTAAGTTCTCTTTATTTTAAGCAGAAATACAAATACACGCATACATAAGCACACATGCACTCAATAAGCTCCCTCTCTCTCTCTTCCTCTCTTCCACAATTGAGTTTGATCCCGTTACCCAGAAAAAGAGCTTACGTGCTATAATGCAGGCAGATGCTGACGCTACGTATGTAAATGCAAAGCACACGTAAATAGAGAGCGAGCGTGAAAAAGGGAGGGCAAACAGTATTTGCTGTACTTTTCGGGCACACATGCACATCTATCAATACACACTAATATACACTTTTGCATGTGTGTGCTTTAGTGCCATTAAAAACACCGTGTTCTATAGCCAAACATCATTTTAATATGTGTACAAATTAATTGCAAATTTGCGTGCGTGTTCAAAGCTTAATACCAAAAACAAGAAAAAAAAGGTTTTTTTTTTACAAGGCAAACTGCAAATACTCTTTATAGAAGCAATGAAATAATATAAAAATAAAATAAAATATGAAAAATTACTTCAAAATATAAAACACGCAAAAGCATAATTAAATGCAAATTAGATTTTAACTAACATCATTATTATTCATACATATGTATCATATATTTTTAAAGGGTGTTCAAAGAATTGTACACATTTGTCTAGTTCGAATTGATTTCCGGAATCAAAAAGCAACCTTCAATTCAATGCACATACACACACCGTTATCTCTACACCTCGAACTTTGTATACGCTTTCTCAAGGCTCTACTCGTATAGTACAGACAAAATGTGACTCATATGGGAAAATATATTAAAAAAAACTTAGTAACGCCTTATCTTTCAAAATAAATAAATCTAAAACCAGATTTCGGTAATTACCTTACAAACAGAAATGGGTATAAAACAATTGTTGTAATATCGTGTTACTTCAAAAAACAGTTGTTCCTTTAAATTAATATAAGACAAAAGACAGTGTGACAATTAAATTTAACAATAACTCTTTATGAAGTTGTTAAAAACCAGATGTTATTGTTACTGCTTTCAACTCTAGCACACAACATTGTAAATGCATTCATAATGGAAAAATACCCTTTAAAAAGATTTACTTGTCATGTATGTATGTGTGTATGTACATGTATGTATGCTTGAGCGAGACAGCAATTGTTGACGTTTTACTGTGAATAGATGTCAGCAAAATGGCATACAAAATACCCAGAAATGATGTTAAACAGCTGTTTGCTATACATACATATGTATATGTACATACATATGTACAACTCATGCAAAAAAAATAGAAAGTACATTATTCAAATATATTTCGGTAATTTGTAGAATATTTTCGGTATTTTGCTAGACCTTTCTTTTTCACTACCTTGCGAAAAATGTTCAATTATTAGCCTACTCTGAGACTAAAGGTTATATGTACATATGTGTGTACATACATAGTACTTTTTGTGATACAATCCCATTTAATTGCTCTAATAAAAAAGTTGGCTTAGCAACAGACGCTCAATGCGACGTATGGGTAAAATTGTCGGGAGATCGCTTAATTCAGCACGTCATGCGGAACAAATACATACAAGTTTGTATGACATACATTGTATGTACATACATAATATAACGATACATACATATGTAAATACATACATACAGAAGTATCAATGTATTTTGGCTTTTTGCCGTTGTGCACGCTTTGCCAAAATTATGACAAAATTATGAGACCCTTTCTAAGAAAGAACATAAAAACAAAAGCCAAAGCAATAGCAATACATACTATGTACATACATATGTATGTATCTATATACATACATACATATATTAGTTTGTGTGATATAAGGCCGAACGTCAGGCCTGACACAGTCACGCCCACAACACCGACCCCTCCGTACACATTGTCGCATTTTCGTTTGAAGATGACGCGCAGCGGTCGTTGTGCTGCCAGACGTTCTGGCTCGCCCGAGCGGTCTGTTTGCGGGTGGTGATGGTGTATGTGGAGCGGGGGACGCGCGCGAGGCGATAACAATTAAGGTGCGGGGCAACATTGAATAAGGCAGCGACGAAGCAACGAAGCAGGAGCCGAGAGAAGAGAGAATTTGAATCGCAGCTGGGTGATAACGTCGTCATCGTTGCCAGAGTTACGCAGGCCAATTTTAATTTATGCACAGCACACGTACACACACAAACACACGCACACAAACACACGCACACATATTCGCAACAAGCACAACTCTTTTGCTTGCCTGCTCGCTCTTTCATTTCACATCAACATCTTTTTTATTCACTTTTCGTTGTGCACATTTCGACATTGTTGTTTTTGTTATTTATTTGCACGCTCACTTATGTAAACTATTCTCTCAATTTTTGCTCTCAATGCCTCGTTACAGCAGCAGGAACGACAACGACAACGACGACAGAGCGTCTGGGAGCGTGGTGGGCGATCTGCACTTTGGCTACGTTACGCTCAGCATTAGTAAGCTTTCGACAGTTGACAACGCGAGACGCTTAGAGCGCACGGTAGTTAATAACCGACGGCAACGCGTCGCTGCTGTCGGCGCAGTCGGCGTAAACGCGAGAAAAATATAATAAAACGCATCGAAACAAAAGAAGCAAAAATGCAACGCACCAACATCGAGCTAGAGCGTCAACGTCATCTAGCCAATTGGCTGGTGAAGAGCAGTCCGCACATGGCAGCTGCTGCAGCAGCGGGCGCAGCGCCACCCACGGCAGGAGTTGGAACTGGAGCTGCAGTGGTGGGCGCAACTGTAGTCGGAGGTGTGGCAGCTGCAGTGCATGGCGCACCCGGCAACAGCGCTGCTGCCGCTTGTAACGGTAAGTGAAGCAACAGGGGAGGTTTTTTTTTTCGGTGTGGGCATTCAAAAGATTTACACGCGCACAGGCGTGCACATAACGCAGTGTGTGTATGTATGCGCATACGATTGGAATGAATGCAAGGCAAGGCACGCGCTACCAACAAAAGTGCAAGAGAGACGTAAATACATGAGAGAGAGAAAGAGAGAGAGAGAGAGAGAGAGAGCGTGAGCGCGTGAATGAGAGCAAGCGCAAGAGAGTTTACGTTTTCGTAGATTTGTTTGATTACGCCTTGCTGCTCATTGTTGTTGCTTTTGCTGCTGCTTGCATTTGTTGTCGTCTGCCCCCTTTCGTTACTGCCTGAATAGTGCGCGCGTCGGTCGCTTCGCGTAATTTCACAAAACGTGACGACAACGCAGCGCGCGCTGCGTCCAACGCCTCTCGCCCACTCGCCCACTCGCCTGACGAGCACTTGGCACAGTTGTTGCTGAAGTTGTTGTTTTTTGTTGCTGTTGTTGCAATTGATATTTCACAAAAGATAAGCGCAATTGCAAAACGTTTAGTATTTTTTATGCTTCTGCTTCTTCCTCTTTCACTGTTACATATATTGTACAATAATTTCGCTGTGATTTTACGTTGCCTGCACTCTACAATCAGCTGCATGTGTGTGTGAGTATGTGTTTTGTATGTATGTATTTATTAAGCATACAACAAAAAATTAAGCTAAATGTGCGCAATTAAAGTGAGTAATAGCTCCACCGACCTATAAAGCAACAGCAACAACTGCGAATCGCCATCAGACAATGGACTGCAATCGAACAAAAAGCAATCAAAATCAAGATATTTAACTTTTTATTGAGTTGCAGCTTTTTTGGATAATTCAAAAAATTCATACATATGCACGTACATACATATACAGGTATGTATGTATGAATATGTCTAAGTGTGTACACTCAATAAAAATATTTAAGTGATTAGATAGATAATTGTTGTCGCTTTTGGATAGTTAACTATCCGTAAATTGACCATTCCAGTTAAGTACAAATTCCCATAAGTAGTATCATCTGATAAAGTGTTTTCGGGCTTTTGAGCATGGTCATAGTATTCATACCCCATTTTGACATACAGAATGCATTTTTCGGAATCGTTTCAGCTAGTCTTCAATTTTACATAGATCTTTGAAAATAAATTTGAAGCTGAGCAGAAGAAAATCGAAAACGTATTCGGGAACAACCCAAATAGGTGAAAATCGCTTCAATTTGTTTCTTGAAAGTATTTTCCATCCAAAAGTGGAAGTTTTCCATTAGTGTCAATTTAATCTAGACACGCTTTTTACACTCTCGATTTTGCTCCACTAAAAATAAAAGTCGAAATTCAAAAATTAATAATTAATAAACAAAGCTTTTGCTATTAAGAAATGTATTAGCATATTACGTACGTCGCACACGCATTTCAGGTTTTGTAGAAAGTTCATTCACATCATGACAGCTTTGAATGGAGTCTCTTTTGTTTATAAATGCTATGCCATTTGCAATAAAAATTCAAATATGACGAATTTTAATTATGCTTTGAATTAGGTAGCCGAAATGGCAAAAAAAATTGTTGTTAAATTTGCAATAAAATTGCATTGTTTACACATATTTTTACATCCTGACGAATATTAAGGACGAGCTTCTGATATAATACGATTGATTTATTTAATTAAAATGAGTTCGAGCTAAGCTTGAATATTCTTTTCTTTTCTCACTTTTGTTTTGTATTAGATTTGTATACCATTATTGAAAAATATTCCATGAGATTTGTTAAGGAAAGTCATCGAATCTCAAGTAAATATTATTAGAACTTAAATACGAACTAGAATTATTCCAGATCCTCAGCTGTCTCAACTGTCCGAAATTCGTTTGACGTTGTCGCCGTACTGTCAATTGGTTTAAAAGAGAATTCCTATTAAATACTATTGCGAACTGCTCAAAATAGCTAAACACAGGCACAATGAGATTTGGCTTGACATTCAATTAACACCTGTCAAAATTTTGCTGGCATATTGCAATCCCTTTGACCACTGTGCAAACGCTTGGGCTAAAAACTTTTCAGCGCTTGGCAACAGTTTGAAATTTCAATTGTTTCGCGTTTACCGTGCATTTGCAGTGTGTGTGTGTATGCGTGTGTGTGTGCGTGTGTGTGTGTGTGTGTAAGTTTGTTGTGTGGGATTTTCCCCAATGCAGAGCGACGACAATAAGATATATATACACACCATGCACTTATATATATATAGACTATTAGCTCACTGTTGCACTCGCCGTGTGTTTGCCTACCTGTGCAAGATACCCTTGCCGAGGGTATTCTAAATAAGTTACAAAATGTGTAATCGAAATGTATATAAAATGTATATACACATTTGTATTATCGGTCCGCACGAACATTGCACCTGTCTGTGAATTTCCATGCACTCAGCGCCACTATTTTATATTTCTGTTTGTTGTCGCAATAATATATCCAAAACGAACTCTTTAGGCTAGAAATTGTATTAATTATATGGAAAATTCAATACACTTTTAAATATTGTGTGCTAAAGGCCGGCGAGGGTATTTAATCTTTGGCAACTTGAGAAAAATTGTTCTTTGCTGTTTATTTTATGTAAGTTTTGTTGTTGTTTTGATTGCAGGTGCCCCACCTGGCGCACATCACGGCCACATGGCAGTTGCCGCGGCTGCTGCCGCTGCCGCTGCCGAGGCGCGCAAACCGAAGCTGCGTCGCTTCAACTCCCACGATACCAGCTCGAACATGTTCTCCGTGGCGGACTTCGAGAATGCGCGTCTGGCGCGACGCAACGAGATTGAGCTGAAGCAGCGGCTGGCGCGACGGCAGCGCAACAGCGCCAACTGCAGCTACGGGTTGGCTGGCGGTTGCGCCAGCAGCAACGGCAACAACAACAACACCAACAACAACAACAACAACACCACCAACAACGCTGGCTACACGGGCAGCAATAATGCGGGCTACAGCGGCTTCTGCGGCGGCCTCAATGGCAGCGGCGATTACTCAACGGGCGACAGCAAGAACTCCAAGTGCAGCAGCAGCAGCGAGGTGAGCAGTGCATTCAAATGGCGGCAAAGCTTTTTGATCAAGTAAATGTTTCCTTAGCAGGAACCATTGCCCGCTGATGTTTTCCTCGAGCGGCATTCGCTGCCGCGAGTTGTGCGCATTTTGTACAGCAGCAAAAGCTCCAATGAGACGCTGCAGTCGAGTTCATCGCACGGCTCCTCCACGGCTGCCTCGAGCAGCTCATCGACAGGCCCCAAACAGCAACAGCAGCAGCTGGCGAATGAGTCGGGCAATGGCACGGGCACCGGCACCGGCACCGGCACCAATTCGTCCTCTAGCGCTGGCAGCGGCAACCACAACAGCAGCAGCTGCGTTCAGCCTGGCCATGATGAGCTCTTCCTGCTCTACAGGCTCGTTCGACAGCGTCACATCTACCATGGACACAATGCCAAGTCGCAGGCATCGCAGCGCAAAAAAACGGTGCTCATACCCCAGGAGTTTCCAGGTAAGTCAGGGGCCGAACGCCGGAGGTGGCCACTCTCCGAGATCTTGAACGCTGCGTGAGTGACTCAAGGAGTTCATTTCGTGTGCCATGTTCATGACTAGATTATATAGTATCGATGATTCATGCGCTGATTCAGGCAGTGTGACAAATTTGTGGAACTAAATGTATTCAATAGAGTAGACAACCGAGCAGGGAAAGTGTTGGGAATTTTTACTGTCAAAACCAGTCAGAAATATCTTCAGAGCTAAAATATGCAAACATATGCATTTTGTAGATAAAATAAACAAATTATTGTCAAGAGTATATATATATATTTAAATATTGTCATATAGAAAGATATTGGATGAGTCAGAAGACGATTTGATATAACCGAGTCGTGTACTAAAACTGTAAAATGCTATAGAATTTGACAGTCCAATCAAAAATTATTATTTCAAAAGATTTCACACAGATGCAAATATAACAATATTTTTTTAATTTTATATAATTATTAATTCTTGAAAGCAAACAAGATATTTCACTTTATTTCGGCTTTTCTTTCTAACTACCTTGTCTACAAAATGTGTATAAACTGTTTAGTAAAGTAATTAGGTAATTTTATTTTTAAAGTATTTACGTAATTTCAATACCTAACTTGTTGCATTCTCATGACTAATGCATGACACGGCTGGAAACAGTTGGCTAATTTTGGTGTTTACTGAGCTATTCAGGCATTATAGCGGGCCACAATAGAAGCAATAACTAGAGATACGACTCGAATTTAAGTTGCGTTACGTTTCGCTTTGGCTAATATGCGTGACAGACTGACTGACTGTCGGACGGACGGACAGTGTGACAGACGCTGCCGGCAGTTGCAGTAGAATCGAATCACAACAATTGCTCATCGGGGTATTATGTAAGCAACGACTGCGAGTGCCACTGCGACCCATTGTTGTGGGCTTCATGTGACTTTTCACAGGCAACGGAAAACCGACGCGAATACAAAAACTAAATTCGTAATCTTCCAATTGCGTAATACTCTGCTCCCCAGTGTAACAACAGCTGGAAGATCTACTGCTTAGTTAATCGGTTAGTGACACCAAAATAGGAGAAATCACTTTCTAACTGAAGAATATAAGATTACTTTGCCTTAATCATATTTTTTAATGTCATCAGGCAATGTCATCACTCTCATTAATAAATCTCTAAGTACTTTCCATAGGTACAAAAATTTTAAATGATGGATAACTGCATCTGTCTCCCTAAAATTAATAATCGATTTTGATTTAGGTCTCGTATAAAAATATAGAATATATCTAATCCTCTTATCACTTATAAGAGATATGAGACTACGAGGCATACTCTTAATATCTCATATATTTACATATTTGCTGGCATCTTTATGGCATGGGAATATTCTTCATGCTCTGAATATTTTATAACTTTAATTAAGAGTGAATTTCTGCTGATCTAAGGCATCGATAAAGTTAAGTCTATCTGTAGAGGAAGCACTGCATACTGCCTAGTCAATCAAATATTATGCAACTGCTTGACTCTGCAACTGGCATTAATGTTCTCCTTATTTTCCAGGGTATTTTTCGCTGCTGAACGAGAAGGGCTTGCCAACGGCCACACAGTATGGAACGCTAATGCAGCTGGTTCGCGAGCGTGTCTACAAGTTTGCCTCGGTGGATAACATGCCGGCGTTTACCGAATCATCGCCGAGTGGAGCCAACAGTAGTCCCAGCCACGAGGGCTGCCTGCCCAGCAGCAAACAGCGGCCGCAGTACATAAAGACGACGGCACGCGGCGGTCAGGTGTTTCGTCTGCTGGCCGTCTTCGAGGATGGCAAGCAGGAGCATGGCCAGGCGAGTCACACGAACAGTGTGTGCAAGTCGCATGTGGTGGCAAGTGGAGGCTACATGGGGCGCGACAAGGAAAAGGGACGCTATGCGCAGCTATTGAACGAGCAGCGTCAGGTCATGTATGTGCCGCTGGCGACCAAAGGCAAATTCTACGAGATTGAGCCGGGCATACCGCAGCTGCTGCAGAAACAGGGCGACATGCAGCGCAAACTGAATCCGGAGTGTGTGCATCGATTGGGCGCCTTGGTGGCAGCGGCCAAACAGCTACCGCTAATGCTGCGCTACATCTCAGGTCCTGCCGGCGCCGAAATACCCGAGCAGCTGTGCATCAGTCGGATGAGCAAGGAGGATGTCATAATTGGCTGCCCCATTGAGGAGCTGGATGGTAACGGGCCCTTGCCGCCGGTGCAACAGCAACAGCAGCCGCTGCAGCTGCGTAAGCTTTATCTCAGCCGCGAGATGCAACTGCTCAAATGCTTGCTGGGCTTTGATTCCGAACAACGCATGCTGGCCAATGCTCAGGTGCAGACCATGCTTAAGTTTTGTCAATTTAATTGCGATCAGTTTCTCAAACTTGTGGAGATTGAGCTCTTGCAGCGCAGCGAACGATCGGGCAGCAAAACGCGCGAGGGACTCAAAATTTTGAAGCCGCTGCATCTGCCCAAGCTGCTGCGGCGCGAGAAGAGCAGCATGACGGCAACGTCAACGGCGGCGCATGAGAAGGAGGACTCGATCATATTTCTAAGTAAGACCGACCTGGAACAGCTGGAGGCCAAAGAGGCGGCAGCAGCTGCAGCGGCTTCATTAGCAACAGGCGAAACCTCGAACCAGGTTGCAACCAATCGCATCACGGAGCGCATGAAGGTCTTTCAGTCCACCAAGAAGAAATGGTTTCGCAAGCAGCAGCAACAACAAGAACAGCAACTGGATAAGTCCCAAACAGAACTGCAGCTGGATGTGCAGGCGAAGCGCATGAGCATGGAACGCTACACGGACATGTCCAAGCTGCTGCAGGAGCGCTTTGGCAATGACAACAATGAGCCCGCGGCAGCTACCACGGATACCCAATCGCTGCACAGCGAAACGGAGACGACCACGCTAAGTCACAGCATGGAGCGCAGTTCCATGCCCAAATCGCTGGACACATTGCTGCAAAAGTCGATGTCCCTGCAGGACATTGAGCTTCTGAATGGACAACGACCACAGCAGCGACCAGATTTGCTTACTGCGCATACGGATGCCATCAGCGAAGCCGGCACCGAACTGGAGGATGTTGAGAACCAAACGCCGCCGCCGCAATCCTTTATCACAGAGAAGCTCTACAATGAGTTCCATGTGAAAACGCGCCAGTATAGCAAATCCTCGAGTAGTTTGCATCAGTTGCGACACTTTTCGTTGCCGCAAAAGCTGCAGCTCCACGAAACGGAGCCCGAAAAGCGCATTCAGACGCAGTTCCGAGCACAACAGCAGCTCCAGCTAGGCAAGGAGTTTGGTGGGCCCATCACAGGACGACGCGCAGCTGGCGGCGTCTCTTTGCTCGGCGGCCTAGTCGCACTGTCTCCGGCAGCGCTTCTCTCACCCACATCGCTGGTGGAGGATGATTTGCCGTACTCCAGCGTGCGTGACTCCCTAGTCATGGCTAGTTTGGACAGCAGCGAGCACAGGGAACCGGCACCAATTACGCCTGCCGCCTTGGACTACGCCAAGGAGAATATCTATGCGGAAATTTGCGCCTCGCACACCTGCGACAGCTTCTCGGGCGCCACGCAGCTCACCCAGCTGCCTCCACACGATAATGAGGATGTCCTTGTAGATGATGAGGACGAAGACGATGGTGACTACGCCTCGCTCAAATATCAACCGAACGGACCGCAGTCTGTGAGCCGTGTCGAGATTAACTGCACTCCGGCCACCAGTGCCATCAGCTATCATACGGTCTACCTCGGCGAGGAGCCGCTCGGAGAGCGGCATGCGGCGGCTGCTCAGCATATAACCACCGTAGAGCTGGCCGGTGAGAATAACATATACAATACGCTCAAATGATGATTCATGTGATTTCGGCGACGACGCTTAGCCGGCGCCCAGGGGCTATTCTGAATGTGAAAGGACAATGCGAATTCTAGAATATATTTAAACACATATATATTTTATTTAAAAAAATATCTCGTAAAGCGAACAAAACTGTTAAAACAGATGAGAAACAATATTTATATGTATAGAAAAATCTCCGTAGAGCAGGCAACATGAAAAAGACCCATAGAAAATAGTTGTAAAAAAAACGTGAAATAAGTAACCAAAGCTAAAGAAAATTATTTATAGAAAACAAACGAAAAGCACCATTTGGTATTCCTTTAAAAATACCAAAAACAAATATTCAACAAGTGTGTATAACAAAAACTTAAAACAAAATACTGGAAAGATTTTTTTCATGAGGATATATTTAAAATTGTTCCCAAGTTTGTTTACATTAATCTTTTATTTAAAAAAAAAAATGATTAGTTAAATTGAGTGCACATGCAAAAGTTTTTCATTTGTCAGAATTTCCTTAAACAATTTTGAGGAAAATTCAAAAATATTTCTGAATACTTTGAAATGGATGAAAAACTAAAAGAGCATTTTCGTACATATTTTCAAATGCTATACCAGCTCTTATTATAATATTGGTACTTATTTCATTTCTAAGTTTCTTATGGGTTTTATATAACATGTAGCGCCTATATATAAATCAATAGACTGTAGTTGTAGCAATTGAGAGAAACTTATAAATTAAAGAAGTTTGTGTGGGCAAAGCATAAAATGCCTCAACTCTGCTACACAGATACATCGCCCCGCCCCACAGCAAACATTAAGAAAAATGAGAAGAACAAATGACAACTCACATTGTAATACTATATTATAAAGAATTGAAGACAAGCAATTTGTATTGTAAAAAGGCGTAAAAGCCCACGATACACACGCATAAAATGTCATTAAACTGAATATTGAAAATTTGCAATATTATACAATTGTATACATAACTAACATATATCATATATACTATATATACAACATATTTAATATAATATAAATATATATATATATACATATTTATATATATAATTAGATGTTAGCTATATGAAATGTAGAAATCTTAGCGCAAACCTAAGGTATTATTAGTTTGTAGGCAATCAACAAGTCAAATCAAATCGTATGCGATATGCATACGTATTTATATATATATTTATATGTATATATATATATATAAATATATATACTAATATATAATAATATACTAATAATGTAACATAGCTTGCAATTTTAGGACTTATCACAATTTTGGTCCACTTTTAAACGATCTCTCGTATTTGTCGTTCTGTTTAACATATATATATATAATTAAATATATATAGATATATCTCCTTTTTTTTGGATTTTGAATTGCTTAGCATTCAAAACGCAGGCGGAATGGCATGATCTAAACCTTATCTACTTAACAATTTTAATAATTGTATTTATGAATTGTCTGCTTGTCCGTTTATGTGTTATATTCTTTTTCATGTTTTATATTGCAAGTATCTTCCACTCACTCTTTCAGTCAGCACATGGAGCCATATTATCAACTAGTTGAGCAGTCTCAAATGTAATACATTCTAGTCCTCAGTTATATATGGATTGGTTCTATATTTATATACTTTAACATATCGATCATTTGTTTGAGGACATGCCAAACTGTATGCGCTTTCGGCCAGGCCGTATGTATTAATGTAAATTGATTATCAATTCTCGCGTTCTTTAAATAATTATTTAGCAAAGAATTTATTAATTTTTATTTCGATTTCAATTTCGATGGCTATCGATTTATTTCATTTTTGATTTACTATTTAAGATTTTGTTATTTCAACACACTTAATACAAACAAATCTTATGATCTACAAATGCAATTTGAATTTGTTTTTATTTTTCTTATTTTAAAAATATATTAGTATATATTATTTCTAAATCTTATTATATTTTCAGTTTGTTTTTTTTTTTTTATAATATCTGGTTTTCTATTTTGCACGGACAACTGCAGCTACAATCAAGTGAAAGCATTGTACTCTTAGATATATTCTAATAAATAGATTAACAAGTGGAAAACCCTGTAAAAACTAAAGCAATACTCACAAAAAAGCTATGATACTAGTTGTAAAACCTATTGGATGATGATCAGCTAAATGCAAATTGGATGCGTTTAGAAAAACGAGAGACACAGAGAGAGAAAGAGAAATAGAAAGTTCTATAAGAATACAAATATAAATATAGTATTAAAATAATGTAATATGTGTGTGTAATCAGAGTACTTTGTACTTTGTGTAGCGTTTACCTTTGCATTTGATAGATTTTGTTTTTGTTTTTTTTTTTTTGTAGACATTAAGTCAGGCTTCACTGTAGCGCAAGGGTGATACGATGTGTAAAGAGTTGATAGAACATATTAAATTTGTATCTATATAAGCAACTACCCGCCAGCATATATAAATATATATATTATATATAAATTGGTGTGATAAATCAATGTCTAACAAACAGATAATGTAACGTAGTTAAGCAAACGCAGTTTTGAATTTGCTTTTAGAGCACAATATACATATATATATATATATATACATATATATATTATTAATAGAGACATCTAATAACAAGAAAATGATGAAAAAGTTGATGAAACAAACATTGCTTTAATGTGAAAAATACAATACATATTAAATGTCATCAAAGATTATAAAGTTTAAGAATTTTTCAAAAATGCAAACAAATTATAATACCCTCTACAAGGGTATCAAAGTGAAGTCATAAACAGCAGCTAAGTAAAGCAATTTTCAGGGATTTTTAATGGAAAGGCACAAGAAATTTGTAAGGATAGTTTTGGTATATGCGAAAACTAGCGCCCTAAATGCCGCCCGTAGGCCTTTTGAAGCAGTTAAGATAATTATGAACAGAGTTGAGATGAAGTCGAGATCTAGCGCATTATGCAGAAGCAATACTACAATTTTTTCTATAAGTATAAACAACAACTATAAGAAGATTTATAATCAAACACATACACACACATACAACTAAGTAATCTTGTTTTATTCGGTGTCTATGTTAATCACTAGAAATGACAATTAAACAATTTAGAATTCAACAAGTCAAATATTAGTAGAACTTTAAATGTCAAGCCCAAGAAAATACACAAATATTATACACATAAAAAATATATAGATATATATATATATATATATATATATATATATATGTATATATACAATATATATATATATGTGTATATTTTATTTATATATATCTATAAATTCGGAACACTTCTGGAATGCTGTCTGAACCCATAATTTAGGTATTCACAATGTGTACACTTTTGAACTGATGAAGCGATGTCTGACTACGTTCATGATGCTAAGGATTATGATCTAATGGATGGATTATGATGTCACGCCCTGAGGCGTGGCAAGACTGAATTGAACTGAACACAAAAGAGAACAAATCAACCGAAATGCAAATTAATTGAATTGTTTAAGAATGGTAACACACACAATATTCTGACATTGATATTATTGTTGTAGTAGCTCTTTTTATAAGTAACGCATATATATATATATATATATATATATATATATATATATATAAATATATATGAAGATCAAGTCGAAATGACCCTTTTTAGCAGCTTGACTAAGCCCGTTTCAACTCTAAGACCGATGCCTCCAATCAACTCTAGCATTCGAAATTTTTATTCCGCGTTATACCTATAGCTAATGAAAATGAAAAGTCAACCTTTGGCAAGACAAAATATCAACAAACACAAATGTAAAACTTGAATATGATAATAAAATTGGATTTCTCTTGCTCTTTTATTGGGTCGGGTTTTTTTTCATAAGATACGCTCCAGTGAAGTGAGCTGTGCTAACAAGAGCAACCCCTTAAATTTAAATATTTCAAATGCTGTAAGTATATAAAGAAAAGGGCGAAAGTCCACCAAAGAGCCGAGATATAAGGACATTATAAGTTGAGGGCTTCATAATATTTTTTATTTCAATTGATTCAATATAGCACAACCTATTTAAGAGATACATATATCATTAGCGATTTATTTACTTGAAATTCTTAGAAAATAAAACCCTTCATAATATACATACATTATATTATTTAATTTATTATTTTCTTTCAGGAATCCACAATTTGCAAGTATGCAGAATTGTCATATTGACTACTGGGGTCAAACTTACAGAGAGAGAGTTAATGAATTGTGAGTGCCTTGAGCGGACGAAAAAACCGGCGCACAGCAATTAAACAAGTGATCAAAATTCGAGCGAGAGTATGAAGTATCACATTGACCAGCAAGTACACCCACACAAACAACTGGGAGATAATAACCAAAGCTGACACCTGTGTGTGTGTGTGTGAGTGCGTTGTCTACTTATGCTCATGCGCTAATTACTTTTTTGGTGCTGATCGCTCATTGGTCCCATTAAGCTTTGCTTGTGTAGAAATTCCTCTACTAGTCGTTCGGCTGCTCTTTTTTCTGAGCGCCAGTTTTTCGGTTCGCTTTGGAACTGCGCAACTTTACTTTTGCATTAGTTTGATCCCACTAGTCAACGCGGCAAGACTGGCTGTTGTGTTGTGAGTTTAAAAAAGTAGTAAAAAATGTTATATATTTTTTTGGTTCAATTAATTCTATACACTCCGACCTTTTCAAGAGGTCTACGATTGAAATTGTTTAAAAATATAACCATGCATAACTAACATACATTATAGTCTCGTGCAACCAGTAATTAAAAAATTGTGGATGTGCACAGATCTCAGCATGCAATTACATTCAATTGGCAACTGGGGTCAAACAAAAGACCGCAAAAATCGGCGCACAGAAAGTCAAGCAAGTCACGTGTAGAGCACCAAAAATTGATGCGAGCGCGATGCATGAGCAGATAATGCACTTGGCAGGCAGATACACATGTACATCTCTACATATTTGGCGATTCTCTCCGCACACATGTGCATGTTTGGGTGTGTGTATATTCGTAGATGTTATCTACTGATCTAGCATCAGTGCGGTTGCCTATGCGTTATCTGCCTTTGAATGTCGCTCAGTCAGTTAACTGTTTTCTCGCTCAATTAACTGTTCGCTGATTTTTATCCACTTTGCGTCTGCGCAGACAAATTCAGTTTTAGTTAAACGACAGCAGTCGAGTTGAGCTGTGTGAAAATATTAGAACGAAATTTATCGCGTAAATGGAAAATCAATTAACAATTGTTACTACAATGTTGCAAAATCTGAGTCGGTACAGAAATCAAAATATTAAGTGTTATATGGGCTCTTAATTTAAAGCTAAGCTGAGTCCCGTAGGTTCCAATTTTCTAGGTTCCAATTTTGCAATTGTATATTTAATCAGCAAGAAGATATTTACATATTTTGAACAGTCGCGCACTATTTTGTCCAATCCCGTTAACGCTATCAGACGAAGCACACAAGAAACTTTGAATAAACACTATGAATTGATCTTTATGAATTAGTTTGCACATCTTAACAGTCCTTTAATTTCAATGTATTTAAACAAACTGCACATTAGAACTTTCGCTTACAGAATACATTTAATTCCACATAATTGCCTCAGATTGTCCAAGTAAATTCAACGATCTTTAAATTGCTATTTAAATAACAAGCCAAGGAAATCAGTATATTTTTGTTATGGGTTCCGCTGATTTCGATAAGTTAAATGTACTAATTTTCACATGTTAAAATTAATACCAAATGCCCTTTACATTAACAGAATATGTTATTTCTGTATTTATTATATACTGTTGCAGATTTATCGATTAGCCTCTACTTAACATAACCGCCCTGTACAATCGGCACGAACTATCGTAGAGGCATGTGTGTTTTGAGTTTCCTTTAATTTTGTTGTTGTGAATGTTTCATATAAAGATGTTACGACATTGTAGCCGAATCGGAATTGAATATTTTCAATTAAATTTTAATAAATGTTCGGTCCGTCACATGGCTGGTCATTCAAAGTGGGCCAATATAAAACATATAAAAGCCCAGAAGGACGGATTGCGTGCAGCTCTGTTCACAAAGATTGCTAGACAACTGCGATTGGCTGTGCAGGAAGGTAAATCTGCGGATCCTGCTGTGAACTCTCTCCTACGATCAGAAATAGATAATGCGCTGAAAAAGAATATGCCAATCGGAACAATACAAAACACAATAAAGAAATGCCAGCATAACAAGGCACAATTGAAAAAACATCGACTCGACATAAGATTCAAAAGAAATGTTTATATGATTTGTACCATATATACTGACAATATGGCTGCCGTTAAAATGGATGCAACCGCAATGATAAAAAAGGCTGGGTGAGTTAATAATGTAATTCATAAAAGATGAAAAGCTTAATTAAAAACTACACTTAAGTTAAACAACTCTTCCAGTGGTTCATTTGTGGATGTGAGCCATATGTTTCAAGATTTTGGTCTTATCGAAACTCGTTACACTTCAGAGTTAGACAAAAATCAGCCCAGCTTAGAAGAAAAAGTAACTGAAGATGCCATTCAGTTTGGAGCAGAAGACGTCGAAATTGTTGATGTAACAAATGCTGCAGTGAATGTAAGTTTAATTTGTCTAATAATATATATAAAATCATACTCAATTCTGTCTGTACTTTTAGTTTTTTTGCAGTCCTGTTCTTTTGAGTGGCCTAAGCAGGACATTGGAGCAAAATGGATACAGCATTGAAAATAGCGAACATGTATTTACGCCAAACGTAAGAAACTGGAATTTTTCTTTCATTTAAAAAAAATATATGATTAAAATGCGTTCGTTACTTTTTAGAACCTTGTGTTGCTAGCTGAAGATGAGCAGAAAGCATATGATGCATTTGTACAAAAACTACGGCTTGTTCCTGGCCTGGAAGACATTTATGACAACGTGGAGTAAAGTCAAAGCATATTTAAATATATATATATATATATGTGTATATATGTACTTGCAAATATTCTATTTTATATCATGTGTATTAAAAGATGGGTTAGAAATATGTTATAAATTTAAAAACTATTTAAATTTATTGAGCCTACTGATAATATAACAACATTTATGCAATAAAATCTTTGTCAAATGCTCTTTACGATATATTAGTTACGTGCTCTAATTTACAGATGATATTCATGGGCCATATTCTTTCCAGAGTTGTACAGTTATTTGATCAGCGAAATAACTTCGGCCCATCTGAAAATAAGGAAGATTAATACAATGTTGATTGACTTAGGACTTCGAATTTTGTCCAGACTTACGCTTTGTGAAGCTCGGCAACAGTTTCTATCTGTTAAATCTAGTTAGCCGTCAATAGAATATATATTCACAATGTTTAACAATTGTTTTTCAAGTTCGTAAACAATATTAAAAATTGATAATTAATTTACATATAATTTTAATCAATAAACATCATGAAATAAATACAGAACTATTTTTTAAATTATATTTAATTGCTTTTAAAAACCGCAAATTTCTATTAATGGCTTATAAATTACGATTTTTCACTTTATTGGTACGTTATTTCCTTTTGAAAAAATACATGCAAAACTATTCTTGTTTTCGGTTAACTGCCAAAACCAAGCTGGCAATTGTTTACAATTTTGGATTGTCAAACAGAGGGCCACGTGTAACTGTTATGTCTGCATACGGCGCAGCTTGTGTGATGTGCAACGCCTTGAATTTTTTCAATACGAGTAGGGAGTAGAACTTTTGCGCGGCCTGTTTTCTTGAATTTCGAACTGTTAGTTGCGAAAGCGTTAGATGATCGTTGTTGTTAAAGTGAACTCTGACATCAAGGAAAAGTTGTGCTGCTCTTTTGTTTAACACCCGCTCCTCGAATTGCTCATCCGTTTCATTTTCCATTTGTTCATCGGCGGTAGCATTCGGTAGGCCAACTGACGGTGGGAAATCGTAATCATTCCAATCTGTTGAAATCTCGCATGTCTTATTGAAGTTATTGGCAGCAGCTATAGATCTAGCTTCAGTATCATTGAAAATGGAGCTGACTTGGTCAGGCGGCAAATTTGGTATACAATCAATGTCACCAATTCCGCCATGATGTGGAGTCATTTGTCCGTGATCCAAGCCGGCAGGTGTTAAATCGCCATGGTGGAAATCATCACCCATATCTTGATGCCCGTCCCGTGGTGTTAATGGAAGTTCATTGAGATTTGAGAAGTTTTCCATGTCATTGAACGACAACAGGGCTGGACTTCGCATATTCTCGAAAATTGCAGCGTCGCTTTGCGGTGCAAGGCTTTCCCGCTCTTTTGTGCTGATATCTAAAGACACGGCTGAGAGACCCAAAGATTTTTCTTGTTCGCGAATCATTTCAGGAGGCGCCAAACTTTGTGTTAGAGTATTATCTGTAGCTGGATCAGCAGCTAAATTAGCAGATACATCATTCTTGCGCTTGCGTCCCTTCTTATTCACTATAATAATCGAGCTCTCGCCTTCCTGTGCGTACAGTTCCAACGCCAGGACATCCATTGGGGCGATACTTGAGAAGTCCTCCAGGGGCGTCGAATGTGAAAGTAATTGCCGGTTATAATTATTCAAAAGTACTCTAGCGGGTATAGTTCGAGATGGTAGAGCGAACAGCTTTTCAACCCCGCCCGTCTCCTTCCAATACATTAACCTTTTTGTGGGTGGGGCCAGATCTAGAGTAGTAAGTATATCGGAGGTGTCTGCTAGTTGGGCTTTCATTTCCTCTCCCGAAATATTTTTAATTTCATCAATAATAAGCTTCCGCTTGCGCTTGGCCTTCGTGGCACCCTTATAGGTAGTTGCATCAATCGGTGCCAGAGCGAATCCCTCGTCATCATTTTGTACAAGAGTTAAGTCATTTAATGCTGCATCGCCGCCAGAGGCATTGACGTCTTCATTGAAATTGTGGTCTTTTGCTGGGAAATTATCCTCCTTATCATCTGCAACAGAGTTGGCGCAGGAGGATGCCGGCGATGGGGCGTTGTTGAAGTTGTCAATACCATCGTCATCAGAATAGTCTGGTGGGTTGTTAGCTTCGTTAATTTCTGTATTTATTCCAACTGTTTGTGGCGGCTCGCCAAACAGATCATCCTCAAATAATGTCGGTTGGCCAAAAGAATCGCCAAAGCCGTCGCCATCAAGACGATCGCTGGGCATTTCGGACTGTGTTATCGTAATATTTGGATCGTTCGATTCAACAACATTTGCCAATACATCGTCATCAAACAGTTGATCATTTATGTTGCCCGACATGGGACCACGCATCATTTCAGGTGTATCTGCTTCAAATCCAATGTCTCCAAAGCCATCGTCCTGCAGGGAGAGCGATAAGCTGCCGTAATCTTCCCTCATTGTTATTTCATCGGCCCGGGATTGGTTGACGGAGAACTGGGCCTCAATGTCAATATCGTTCAGTTCAGGCAATGCAGTGTCAAAATCGTGGAAAACTTCTGGTAATGTTATGGCATTAACATTGGCTTCCCTATGGCCTTCTGGTAGGTCCACCATTCCTGGCCTAAATGCCATTTTGATTTTAACAAACGCTTCATTGCAATCTGCCAAAAGATATTTTGCCTTTCTTGAGTATATTCGCACTACCCCAAGCAATAAGTGTCCAGATGTACGTAGCGCCAATTTTACTTTTGGTTGTAAAATACCCTCCACAGATTTTTCTATGTTTGTTTCGAATACGTGTGCTTTTGTAATTTTTTTATCCCAATGGGCTGCTAACCATATTCTGGCTAGCGGCCCTTTTTTGGCCAATATAATGTGTTCGTAAAACATTATTTATATTATTTTGTTACAATATTTTAATCGCTTTAATACACAAACAAAACAGAGATGCACAATTTGCCAAACAACATGGCGACCTAGATGCCACTATAAATTTTCGATAGCCATATATCGATATTTTCATATAATTAAACAGAACAGAATCTGTATATTGAGTGCAAATCATTATATATAGAGTATAGATATTTTGTAATTAATTAATTAATAGAACAAGAGTGGTCAGCTAGATAAAATTGTCACATATTAAAATTTAATATCGATAAGTGTACAATGCTACCACTTACCACACAATGCATTGTATGGTTAGTGATGCTACTGTTAAGGCTCTGATATTTATTTGATACAAATTTAATATCGATAAGAGTTCAATGCCATTGTTAAGGCTCTGAAACTTGTTTGATTCAATTTCTGTAACATTTGTTTTTCAATTCGAAAAAGAAGTAAAGTCCGGTTTTTCTAAATAAAATAAATGGTATTTATTCAAAATGTTAGAGAATGATCTAACATGGATACAACAGAATTTAGTATTTTTAAATTTGCATAGCTGGTCACACTGTGTTCACATATGTTTTGTAAAGAATATTAATATTTCTCAAGCAATATATAAATATTAAAAAAACACGACAGAAAATGGCCCTTAATGGGTTTTTGGACTTCTTTCAAAAGGGAAAGGTATGTCCAAATGCTATTTGCTGTCAATGTGCAACCAAGAGCTAGAGTGTTGACCGTAAATACTTTAACAATTGCCTGCATATTGACATTTTTGTTTTTACAATGAATAATACCACCCATGCGTGGAACATATTCATATTTATTCGTTTGTAGACTTTTAGACCCAAAAAGAGGTTTACCGCCGGCACTATTCGATATTCGCTTCACAAGCAGGCCCAGGCTAGTTTGCAATCTGGTATCAATTTACGGCAAGTTGTGCGATTGCCGGAAGGCGAGAATATGAATGACTGGTTAGCAGTACACGGTGGGTACTTTCCATCAAATATCTGTATATATTCAATTAATGTTTGATATAATTTTTTTGGGATATATATAGTTGTTGACTTCTTCAATCGCATCAATCTCATATATGGCACCGTATCTGAATACTGCAATGAAACTACTTGTCCAACAATGTCTGGTGGCTCCCGATATGAGTATCTATGGGCAGATGGAGATATGTAAGTGGTCGTGTAAGGCGTTATTATAGTGTAAATTATGTGAGCCATCGAATTATAGGTACAAGAAACCCACTGCGCTTCCTGCACAGAAATATATTGAGCTTCTCATGGACTGGATTGAAACACAAATTAACAATGAAGCAGTATTTCCCGTTTCCACTGGTACGAACTTCTCTAACACTGATTATATGTATATTATTAATGGTAAAATCTGTATGCTTGATTTCAGATGTTCCCTTCCCCAAAACGTTTGTGTCACTCTGCCGAAAAATATTAACAAGATTATTTCGGGTCTTTGTACATGTCTATATTCATCATTTTGATAGAATTGTAACTATTGGCGCGGTAAGTAGCTGTAAACAAAATCTAATAACTAAATATTTCAAATATTAATACATATTTTGTTCGTGTTTTGTTGCAGGAAGCGCACGTAAATGCTTGCTATAAGCATTTTTATTATTTTGTGCAAGAATTTGAACTGATATCTTCCAAGGAATTAGAGCCACTTCACGAAATGACTTCAAGAATTTGTAAAGACAAAGAATAATCATTTTTACAAGCATAAAGATAATTCTAGATTTTATAACTTTTAAAATCCAAGTCATAATTTTATGTTGATTTTCACATACTTTAATTTTAAATATGATTGTAAGTTAGCTATAAGTCTGTGATGTCCAAAATTTCACCATTAAACCGATTCACAGTGTTTTGAAGAATAATTTATTCTTTAAATGAGTTTACAAAAATGTAGAAGCCACTAAATTAAGGTTACATAAGTTGTTTCATATTGGCTGAATTGTAAAAAGTGAAGCTTGTACAGGTGTAGCTGATGGTGGACAAGCATTGAAAGCTGCTTCTATTTAAACAAATATTACTTTTGTTGGTAGAGTTCGTTCCAGCCACATATGAGGGACTACGAATTGACTAATAAGCAGCAGCACTTTATTATGAAATATTAAAATAATGACACTGATTTTGATGTTCTGATGTTAAGCTGAAGTTCTTTTCTACTTTGATGCCGATGGTCGTTACTGTCACTTGTTTTAATGTGCTCCCATTTTTCTTGTGACTCACTTAAGCTCATTTATAATCGACACGAAAAGTGAAACTTGTCCAATGTGAATCAAAACTTAAATTTATTTCTTAAGCAGCCAGTCGAATAATAAATAATTTGGGATATTTAAGTCTATCTATTAAGTGAGAAATAAACTGCAAACAACGAATATGAAACTCCACCCACATAGGCGATAGCACGGAAAATTATTAGGTGTTTTATACACTCTTAATGTGTATACAGCATAAAGCGGCTATAACCAATAACAGTAAAGTAGGGTTGAGCTAACAACCTACAACCACTTTACAAGAACAACCAGCCCGTAAAGACCAATGAGAATAAATTGAAAAGAAGTAGGCAGGGCGACACCTTGTTCTACGAGCCGTGACTACTGTTTTTAGGGGTTGTTTTGATAGTCCAAAAGAGCGAACCCCAAGGAGCGAGCAATTGGGGAACAGCTTATACTATTACATTAAGTATTTTAATTATATAAAATTATGTTTATTTGATTTCATAAAAAACTTGTATTCAGTATTATGACTATTAACTCAAATGAGGAAAGTTTTTTTTTTGTTTAGATTGAATACGTTTGCCCAATGTTGTGTAATTATGTTGTTAATAATAACCAAATAATCTCGGAGATTAAAAATTAATATGTGTAGAAATCAATTGTAGGTTAATATACGGAATTAATTATACTATTGATTGTATGGTTAAGTATGTGCCCATTACAATACATATTTTGCATCACGGTTGTTGATTTAACAATGTGTCTTCTCTCACAGTGATGTATCTTTCTCATAAAAAAGCAATGTGATTGCGTGAAGCTGAGCTGAATGGCATGCGCAGCAGACAAGAGCGGCATAGAATTTTTCTGAAATGAGCACAGACACATCTCTGTGTTAGTTTTTATTTGGTTTGGAAAAGGACCTGTAATGCTATTGGCGTTTCATGCCAAGTAGTCGACCGTTTTATTTTGTAAGAGCAACTATGTATCGGAGTAAAAGTGCTGTGAAATTTTCAATATTAAAGAAACCATAATATCGCCTAAATCGGATTGCATGCAAAAATGGAGCAATTAGCACAGTTTGTAAACAAATCGTTTGAATTTAATTTAACTCATAATCGGGTTAATCATTTGTTTAACTCAATGACAAGTGCTCGTGTTCATAAACTAACCGACGCAACAACAAAGTCTATATTGGTCAATACAAATAGATTGGAAAGAATTTCCGTCGATAATTGCACCAATGAGGACGAATCCATGGATATTGATATAACCGATGTTTCCGTTGCGGAAGAAAGCAGCTCTGAGGATAAATCGATCCTACCCAAACCTTTATCATTAGTTAAACTTCGTTCGCTACAGCAGCAATCAAATTCAACTAACTCCAATAATGAACATTTATGTAAGACTGATCCTGCTCCTAAGCCCAAAAACTGGCTAATTTCTGATCTATTGGTGTCCGACGCACATTCGGAAGGTAACAAAACATAAATTCATTTACACATTCAAGCAAACACTTCAATTAACAAGTTTATAGTGTCTGTCTGACGATATGTTCGTTAAAGAAGAGCTGTGTAAATAATGAATATTGCGTAAAGTAAGAAAGCTACATTGGATATAACTTCGATCCATAGCTCTCTCACAACCTTAAAGTGTTTACATGCTTTGGATAGATTCTGTTTATCATTTTCTTGTTCAAATATACGTATTGTAAGGGCAATGGGTTCTTATACAGTTTTTAATTCATCGAGCGGCTGAATGAAAGGCGAAAATCAGAATCTTAGGGATGAATGATCATTCAACAAATATATTCATTTAGTAGTAGAATGTATGAATGTAATTACAAAAGTATTGTGAGTTATTCAGACCTGGAGACAGCCTATATATTCCTACACTGCAACATTATTAGCTGTTTTCTTATTTTCTTGTAATGTGTATTCGGTTTTCGTAATTTCAGGTGATAAATGTGAAAAGCCCACTGCTGGTTCCGATGATACCAACACGTGTATATTAAAACCAGTTAACAGTAATCCGAAAAGCAATGGCGACCTGAGATCCACATGCCAAGAGCCAGATTGTAAAACCAGCAGCAGGAGCACAACAGATATGAAAGTTTATGATATCGAAACTTCGCTAAGTAAATATAAACTATTTTTTCGAACGATGCAGGCGCAGGCAATACAAGCTAAAAGAAGTTTTATTGATTGTGATTTTCCACTGTGTCTATAAGATATAGAGTTTTGCATTTTGTGGCGGCAGCAATGTGGCCACAATATATTGGGCTTGATCTTTAGAGGGGATCAGAGCGGGACTTCTTTCCAATTTTGGGTAGTTTATCTATTTTGCCCGTCTCTAATGGGGGCTAGTTTTTTCTTCAGATCTTCAGAGGATATCATCAGATGTCTATCCCATATATTCTTTAATGTTAGCAGTCGAGTTGATCTTTATATTCGTCCGTCTGTTTGTTTAATCATAATTTGCACATGAAGCGGAAAATATATTAATTTGTAATTGTCCGCCTTGCATGTGCCTTTTAGTATTATATTGAAGCTTCAAAACTCACCCGCCAAACACAATTACGAAAAATAAATTCGGAATGTATATATAAATATATAGAAGAATACAGAAAATCGTACATATACACGGGGCTCATGGAGATTTTTAGATCGTTTGCCCTTACAACTGTGAGATATCTACTGCATATCTTTCTCAATTGGTCAGAGAACCGACCTTTAGAGGAGCTAATCATAGGCTTTATTTAAGAATTGGTCACTTTGAAAATTCCAAAATGGGTGTAGCAATATAATTTTAAGATATCACAAATTCCACAAGCAAAAGGACGGATAGTAAAATGGACGTTGCACAAAACCAATATATTTTTTATAAATCTGTGAACGAGTATCATTTGAGTACTGATGAGGGCGTCGGCACTTTACGTTAATTCCTAAGACTCCAATGTAAACTAAACATTTTTCATTATGATTTATTATACAAACTTTACAGAAATGAAAACTTCTGCAACAATTACAATAAACTTAAACGAAAGTTCAAATGATAGTAATTCTGCAGAAATATCATTGCACAAGGTGGTCCCATCTGAAAAATCTATATCTCCGGAACCACAAACAACAATAGGGGAAAATGTAGCACGACTAGAGCCTTCAGGACTTAGTAGTAAACAGCGAAGATCACGAACCAACTTTACGCTTGAACAGCTCAACGAACTAGAAAGACTTTTCGAAGAGACCCACTACCCAGATGCCTTTATGCGAGAGGAACTAAGTCAGCGATTGGGACTCAGTGAAGCACGAGTGCAGGTGAATATTTACATACTAAAAAAAACGATCATAACTTCAAATTTCAATTTCGGAGTGGTAAGTCAATAAAGTTATATATCCAACAGTTAGATCGATATGGGAGCACAAATCAAAATTCAATTTGTATTAATTATAATAGTAGCTGAGACCGGCAAGATTTCTCTTTTGCCGATTTTAAGTGAAGTCCTGTAACAAATTTGGCTTACCAACCACCAGCTTACCAAGAGATATGGGGTGTTAAGTGGTTTACGCCGCCCTTCGTTACAATTATGCCCAAGTAAGAAAGTTGTAGAAACAACAGGGGGCCGATTACAACTTAAATGCTCAATCAGGGCGACTCTTAATGGACCGCTATGTGGTAATGTATGAACAACGTACTGGTTTTTACAAGTGCAATAAATTACAATTCCCTTTCACATACATACTTACAATACTTACAATAAATTTATGCCAACTAATGGATAAGAGCAATGCTAACACTTAGTTCTATAAACTTTGGATATGTCCTGTCAAATATCATGTAGCTAACGTTGTTTGGTTAATGGTTTCTAAGATTATTACCATGTCAGTTGGTAAAAAAAACTAAAAGGACTTTTCTTTGCTACTTTAAGTGTTCCATGGGGGGTATTAAGCAATATTATCTCTAAACTCTTAGATAACAAAAACTTATCGCTTTTCAACTATCTATTTTACAGTCCTAGAAACAAATTTTCTAGGCAGCATTATAAGGCATATGTAAATTCAAATCAACACATTTTTATTATAAACAATTGACTTAAATATAAAGTATATTCGAAAGGATACCATTTCTTTTATATATTTTTAGGTTTGGTTTCAAAACAGAAGAGCCAAATGTCGAAAACACGAAAATCAAATGCATAAAGGTAAGTGAACGGAATTACTATCTTGTTCTATGTTTAAGAAATTATCTTTATCTTCAAATACATTTGGGAAAATCTAAGATTGTATATTATACCATTTTAATCAATAATATTGCATTGCTATTTTATCAAGACTGAAAATTTGGTTAAGCTTAAAAATTATTCGAGTCTTTCAGGGAAAAGTCCCTGCCAATTCGAGTTCTTATTTCCATTATAAGCAATATATTTTTGCATTATTTACCTTATTTTAAAATTTACCTGAATTTAAAATTGACCAGTTATTCCTAAAAAGCCATTGCAAATATGCCTAAAGGTCGTTAGCCGTCGCCAAAAATGTATTTTTGACAAATTCGCACTCAGCGTAGCTTCAAAGGCAGCAAATTGCTCTTTTATAATGTACACGGCAATGGGTAACGATTCAGAAACATTGTATGATGTTAAAATTAAAATTATCGCTGTTTTGAAATTCGCATCTGCCGTGATTTTCCCCTCGAATTCCCCTTCGGATATGCTGTGCGTAGCGTGACAGCGACACAAATCATTGCCAACTTAATCAAATTAAATATTCCAGCCGTAAAAGTGGAAAATAAAAATGTTATCGGCGAAGCTGGGGCGTTGATGAATGAACACGAAGCAATCAGTGTAGAGTTTGGTTGGCTGAGATCTTGATGTATTAATGATGATACATTTAAATAAACTGTGAAACCATGACATATTGTGTTAAACAGTTGGTTAAATACAGACGCCAGAGACATTAGGACAACCGTGGCATTACAGTTAAGCTGTAAACTTTCAACGTTTACTTAACTAATTGCCATGTTCTTTTAAATTTACATAAATTAAAATAATCTCCATGTTGAAAATAGCGACAGAAGGATTGTGGCTTAGGTTGGCATTAGCAAGGGTGCACATGAAATTAAAGAAAAAGGAATACTGGATATTAAATTGAAATAAGACTTCAACAATTTTCAATTTCGGAGAGAGGGCTCTTAAAGTCATAACTTCTTGGTATATGTATATACTCTTTTTATATTATATTTATGCATTTGTGAATATGTAATTAATGATTGTTGTAACTTCGATGTGGCCTTGCTCTCTCTCTCTCTCTCTCTCTCCACCTACCTCCCCTTTGTCTTCGCTAACTAGCACCCAGCTGGCTTTGTAGCACGAATTTGTTAAATATGACTTTATGACTTGATTACATAGCACGACGGGGACTCAGTTGTGTGTTGTCATGCCACAGACACAATTTATTTGTACATGTGCATACGTATAACGAGCGGGTATTGCCCGGCCTTGCCCGTGGCAAGTTTGCTGCTCTACATTTTAGATTTTTACTTTTTCAACCAGTTTCCTGCCGTGAGAATACCAATCTGTTTGAAAATATATTTAGGGTCTATCGTATTTAAGAACCAAGAGTTGTAATTTTTAATGCAAATGCGGTGGATTTCGCAAATAACATCAAATAAATTATCTCAAAGATCTTTGGATCGATGGTAAACAAAAAAGTTGCTAAGTTTCCGCCTAGTTTCCACAGTTGTGGGCGAAATTACCAAATTACCAATTAAAGCACATATTCATTAGGTTCCTATGAGTTTGAGGGTTTTGAAGATAAGTTAAAAGCAATTTTGACAAAACTGAAAGCTTCGTCACAAAAATCTTGCAATCGCATTTTTCACAGAAGAAGCTTGTATTCTGCAAAAAGTGTGAAACACGCTCCCATGAGTTGTCTTCAAAATATTTGAAAATTAAATTGAATACAAAATGCTCCTATATTTTGTATCCCATTTATATGATTATAAGGAATTTTCTGAGAAGTGATACACCTCTTTAATCAAATTTAGCAAAGAAAATGAAAATTGCGGTAAAAAATGAGCTTCATACAACCCTTTCCGCGATTTTCCACAACAGTGGGTGGAATTTCACAAAACTGCTTACTTAGTAAAAATTCAGCTTCTGGGCTTTGATTAAATTTAGTTAGTCAAATAGTTGGGACGACAAGTTGTATATATGGTGTATACGACGTTTCTATCTTTTTTGATTTATGGTTTATATTTGATAACTATATTTTTCCAACAGGTTTTTATGTCCCATCGATAAAGAAATAGTGTTATGTTGTGCCATATTTCAATGATTCAATAACCGAGGTTAACTTAAGTACATATTGCTGTACGTACATAAATTGTTGAATAAAATGTTCTTAGGGGGCAGAACAGTCTAAGGCCGCAGCAGCAAAAACAAAGTAATCAAATTAAAATTCGAATAAAAAAAGAAAAAACCCACCTTTTTCATACAGAGTAAGGTATCGTTTTATGGGCTTATATCAATTCTCAGACTTTTTATCGCCACGAAAATAAAATAGCCCTAAAAGCAAAACACTGCATAAATGACGAAGCTAACCTGGTCTTGGCCTTGTGGTCCCTTGAGTGTCATTTTGATATGTGTCCGTCTGGCCTTGGTCCAGAGATGGGGGTGCACCAGCAAATTGCGGCAGTACGAGCGAGAGTATCAAGCCCTCAACTCGAGGGTGTTTTCATGGCAATAAATTAGAAAATGAATTCAATTACTTGTCACGAGTTTTTGTACCGATTTGCCAAATTGGTATGTTCATTTGTATTTATGTACTTGCATTTAGGTGTGTGCTTATGTAAATTATTTACACATAGCATCAAACTTTCTCAAGAGCAAGTTCTATTATTTCGTAAGGGCAGTTCTGGATTAGGCGGCTTGCGCTTAAATAAATGTGCTGCATATTGAAGATCCCGAAAACACGTAACACATTCGCTATAGCTATCAGATCTTTACTTGAACTTTATAACCGATAAGAGCATATGGCATCTGGTGTATTACTGCACAAAGTAAACATGGATAATTTCTGAGTGCGACGCATTCATACAGACGGACATGAGTAGATTGATTCGGATGTTTGTCGCCCTGCTTTTGTCTACCTAACATTATACCTTTATCCAATTGGGCGTTAGGTATTAAAAGATGAGTACATGAAATATTAAGATAATAAGACTTACGGATTTGTATATACTTCATAGTTCTTTTGATTCATGCAAAATATGTTGAATATTGCAGGTATATTACTAAGTAGCCGAAGCCCGCCGGTGTCAACGCCTCTCGAGCCTTGCCGAGTGGCGCCCTATGTAAACTTGGCTGCTATCCGCAATACAAATACGTCTATTATGCCATCTACGAACGCTTTAAGCTCTGTGCAGCATCAATCCGGGAAAAGCGCCGCCAGCATTGTAAATAATCGGGCGCCATCACCAGCGGCTGTTGTGACAGCCGCAGCTGAACACTTTTCAGGCAGCGTTGCAGCCGCAGCAGCATTTTCCGCGTTCGATCCAGCAATTTTATCTGCTGCTGCACACCAGGTAGATGCATAAAGCATAATTCGTGAATTGGGTTACTTATGTACATTGGTTATTTCAGTATGCGGCGGCAATAACTAATAGAAGCAGACCCACTGGACTTTTCGCATTGCCGCAGTATCCGCTTCATTTGGCCGCATTTGCCGCCGCGCACAAGAACTCTAGCATAGCGGATTTACGAATGAAAGCTAAGAAACACTCGGAGTCGTTGGGCCTTGAAGCAGATATAGTTATTTAGTACATACTTTACGAACTAAATTAGAGTAAGGCTAGTCTAGAGTTGTCTATTTTAAGCAATCTACTATTTTATTGATATTGAAACAATTACAATAATTACATTTACCATACTATTACCAGATGTTTACTATCGATTTGTTTCAATAAATAAATATTTAGTTGTCTTGTTTTTAAGTTTTGCTTAAGTTTTTGTATGCATATTTCATAATTCAGACTGTCTAGACTTTGGAGCCAAATCAAAAGAAATGCCACGAAAATTCAACATTTTAGTACAAGAAAAATACCAAAACGACAGTTGATATATATCGCTAACGATAGCAGAAAGTGTAAAGCGACAGTTGATATATATCGCTATCGATAGCAGAAAGTCTAAAACAGTCTTCTGTTATGTTAAAAATTCTACGATGAGGAGCACTCTGTTAACATGAAACGAGACTGACAAGGAACAAAATTAAGAATAAATTATTAATCAATTTTGCACAACGCGTATATGGCAGGATTAAAAATTGGTAAGCTCATAAGAAACAAATAAATAAATTCTTGCACAAGTTCAAAATTTAAATATTAACCGTACAAAATCAAATCATAAATTACACAGAGACATAACAATTCGAATCATTTTAAATTAATGATATACTTTAAATTCATATTTTATTTACCATACTAAACCGATTATATTTTCTAAAACCCTTTTTTCTGATTCCCGTGACCTATTTGAAACACGGTTAAAGTGTAGTAGTATTTTTCGGATGCAGTATTTTGCTACTCTAACCGTAAATCAGTATTTCAGATTCGGAGGATACGGTCGCACTCTAACTTTCACAACGAAAATATTTTATTTTTATTTGTTATTTCTTTTCATTGAAATATAACTAGATAATTTAAAATAAAATAACAAGTTATATTACAAACGCAATGTCAGTATGCTAATAAATGAAAATTACGATGAAGCGAAAGTGCTAAGATTCGAGCTAACAAGCCATCCCATTGGCAGCCAAGATCCGATCTCCATCTAAAGTATGAAACGAACCTACATAGAGTGAAAATAAAGAAGTGACGTTTGCACTGTCTAGACTTTGAAGGTTGTTTTTTTTTTTTTGTTCGTTTTTGTGATTTGTAAGTTATTGCTTGAAATAATTTACACAACTAATGTGTGTATGCAATTAAAAAATGTTAACGCTGTGAAGTTTGACCTTTATGCTTCTTATATCCTGTTCAGTTGCTTGATTTAATCTACATATATATTAATTTTTAATAATATAAAAAGTAAATGTCGTTGTTGCCAGTTGCGCATTCGCATCCTCAACGTCAGATGAAGCGCAGGGGCTGAAATTGGGGTGTAGTCGTTGCTTGCTCATTTCATTCATGTGTTGCGTTTGTGTGTGTCTGTGCGTATTCCAACATGTATGTATGTGCATTAATACGTGTACACACACATACATACATTGAGATATACACATACATCTTCTTTCTTTTCTTCAATAACGTTTACTCCAAATAGCATAATTTCTTGATGTTGGCCCAACTCTTTCTCTATCTATTTTTTTTATTTTTATTTTCTTTATACGTCAACTTTTTATGTTGATTGGAAATGCACGTAGTGCGTTTAATTTACACTTTCTGCTTGGCTGACTCAATTAATTCTCTTAGTTTAGCCACTGTCGGTGCTCTATTACCTTTTGCTTACTTACAAGATACGCAGTTGCGCATTCAATTTGTGCAACAGCAGCAGCAAGCGTCGGTGAAGTCATTAGCCCCTCAAAACCTAGACAAACTATGGCTAGTTTTAAGCTTTGCTGCTCTAGTCCCGTTTTCACTCCCTCTTTGTATTTGTTTTGGTTTCTTTTTTTTTGTTTTTTTACCATCAACACATTGAAAGTGGTTAAAGAGAGTTTAATGGTTTTGTACAATTTTATGCCACAGGCTTTTCCGACTATATGTACATATTCTTGAGCAACATCAACAGCTGAGTCGATTTAGTTTTCTTGTGCATTCGTCCGTTTGTATAAAATCGTCGATCTTGGAGACTATAAGAGCTAAAAACTTAAAATTTTGAACGTGGATTCTACTATTACTGGAAAATATGAATATATGAATGAAAATCTTCTTCGATAACTTGCCCGTTTCCACATATTGCATATAGATTTCCTGGTTTTGCCCATATATCGGAGTTTAAATGAGCTAGAGACTCTACATTTTATACGAAGACTTTTAATATTAAAAGCTTAACATATATAAAATATTGATTTTAGTTGGGTTTGTAAATACGTGTGCGTTCTTTCGTTTTTAAAACATTTATATCACTTTTAGACCACCTATTCTTAGCTTTATGCAAACGTTAAATTGTGTGCAGAGTCTAACATTTGTAAAATCTTGTCTTTCAGCTAAACCATATATCTACTTATTGTGTATTGAGTAATTTGATAAAGATGTTGTGATGGCGAAAATGGCATCTGGTGACCTTTCGTTGACCAGCACAAGCAGTCAAGAGGGTGAGTAGCAAAGCACACGGCGCAGTTAATGCGACAGGGAGTATCTTAATCCTTTCATTGTTGCAGAAGAAAGTTCTGAATATGTGGGCTATGATAACACACTGCGACCGCCGTCCAACTCGAGTGGAAGCACAACAGCCGCCAATATGGCCAACAATAATGGACCTACCAAGGTTGTCAGCAGTGTAGGAGGCGTTGGGGGAGTTGGTGGCAATGTTAAGAAATACGAACTACTACAGTCACAGTATGAATCAGCGATGCTGGAGCTGAGCACGCTGCGGCACCAGCATTCGAGCTCGGAGCGGCGTTGTGATGAACTGGCCACGCAATTGAATCTTTATCAAGAGCACTATATGGCTGATCGTAATAAGTTTACGGACATTGTGGCTGAGAGTGCACGCCTAAAACACAAATTGATGTTGCTAGAGAGTCAGAACCAGAACAATGGAAATGCTTCAGCTCCACAACAGTCAACAGCCAGTAGCAACGCCTTTTACTACAGTAAGCTGCAGACGCCATGCGATGGGAGCTGCAATAGCAGCGAGAAGTTGGCGGAAATGAAAAAGGAGCGCAATTTGATAGCTATGGAACGTGAGAAATACAAGAAATCATACATTGAGCTGGAAAAGGAGCGCAACTTTTATCGCGAACGCGGCGATGAGAATCAAACTCTTAAAGTTCTACTCTCCAAGGAGACAAAGCACGTTGTTTCATTGACCGAAGAGCTAAATCAGCTTCTCTCCGAGAAGGACAACGTGCTGCAAGAGCATCAAAAGATGTCTGATGATCTGGCGCTAGCCAACAAGGAAATCGATCGTCTTAAAAAGGATGAGCTTGTATACAAGAACGAATTAAAGTCCTTGCAATTAGCAAATGCAGAGCATAAGAAGCGTGATCTACTAAAGTCGCGGGAGAGCAGCTGGTCCAAGGAGTTCAATAATGATAAAGAGGAGTTGGAAAAGTTACGTAAGAGTCTTGACAAGACTCAGTCTGAAGTTGAGCGCGCAATGCAGGATACTGAAGAAGCAAAACGTGTGCGCGACTGGGCAATCTCACAACGTGAGAAAATCGTACAGGAGCGTGACTCAGTAAAGACGCTCTGTGATAATTTGCGCAAGGAGCGCGACAAGGCGATATCCGATTTGTTAATGGCCATACGCGACAGTGAAAAAATAAAAAAGCAAAAAGATGAGGCACAAAAGAAAATCGATGCACTCAAGGAGCAGCTTGAGAGTCAAACCACAACAGCGATGCCTTTCGATAGCGCCTCACGGCGCAGCTTTCGCTTAAGCAGCTTTGAAAGCGGCGAAGATCTGCTGGAAATCGAATTGTGCAACTACCATGACTCAGATCTGGGCATAATACTAGATGATAGTAACAAGCGTCAGCTGGTTTGTGGTGTCACCAATAGTTCGTCTGCGTTTGGCAAACTCAAAATAAACGATGTAATATGCAAGGTAAATAATTTGGAATGCCAGGGCGTATCGAAACGCATGGTTCTAGACGAAATACGCGCATGCGCACCACGATGTCTGCTGCTCGTAGCACGCACTCGTCACAGCAAAAGGCACTCGTACGCTGTGCAGCTTAAAACGAACGGTCGTGATGCCATCGGCTTGCAGTTAGACATGGGCGTTTTTATAGCCAAAATAGAGCCCAACTCGCTGGCCTTCTACGAGCCGGAGCTGGATGTGGGGGACCGCGTGCTGAGTATAAACAATAAGTCAATGGATTCGTTGCAGTCCATTGATGAGGTGATGCAGCTGCTTAACACCGACACTGTCAACATATTTGCTTTGAAGTACGTGCCGGAGCAGCAGTCCGATACGCATTGTCGCATGACTAGCTCATCTGCGCAAACCGATAGCTCCATTGACTCCATGCAACAGTTAAATAGTAGCAGTGGTGTGGCTAGTGGTAGCAGCAGCGCCGCAAAGCATCCGTCCAAATTTGCAGACTTTCTCCGTAAACTGAAATTCAGTAAACCGGGTACTGCCGATGATAGCTTTGAGCAGGAGCACGATGTGGCCATTGCGGCTTTAGATTCGGTGCTCAGCGAAAATAGCTCAGAGAAGAGCAAAGAGAATCTCTTCAAACGCCACAAGCGCGGAAAAAAGGGCGAAAAAGAGGCGAAAAGCATGGGTACCTGGCCCCGCACAAACATCTCACACGATAATCCAACTGGCACTATTGTCCAACGAGGTGGTGAGAAGAAACGCGCGCTTATGTCACTATTTACCGCGGGGCCCATCAACGTGGATAAAGATGATGATGTCGTAGATCAAGTGGAGTCCAAGCCACAATTGCAGCTTCAGGAGCTTCCGCCGCCACCGTTGCCACCGCAGTTGTCCAAGCCGCGCAACGTTAATGGCGGTACAATCAAAACGCATCCCAATCGCAATTCTAACCCTGTTGGCAATGTGGTGGCATCCACACTCTTTCAGCCTAGCAACGTGGGCGTCACTTATCCGCGACATTCGTTATATGGAGGAGTGGTTACTTTGCCGGAGGACAAGCAGCAGATGCAGCGACCCGCACCGCTAATGGGCGCCAATGCACGCGTAAAGTTGCACGGACAGGAACGATCTACCCGTTTACACAATCCACATCGTTTTTCTCTGAATATACCACCCAGCGGAGGTGATTTTTATCAGCCCAAAACCAGCGGCCAGCAGGCACAGCAGCAGGTCGTGCCAGCAGTTGCGGCTGGTGAATTTCCATCCCGCAAGCAGCAAATGTTTGATATGTTTCAGCAGCCAGCGCCGCCGCTGCCATTGCCTAAAGTGAACGCCGTCTTTATGCCGCTGCATCCTCCGCCCCGTGTTTCCGGCGGCAGTGGATCAGCTGGTTCTAGTTCGGGCGGCCCAGTGGATATTATATCGCTTAAGTCACAAAACTCTATAGAGTCCATGCTGTCGGCAAAGAGTCCGCCCATTAGTGAATGTAATGTGTATCGAAAACGTAATGTACCGCCAATGCCACCAAAACATGTTCCAAAATATCCCAGCGACAGCGAGAGCGTTGGGTCAGGCATACTGGTGACAGGCGGGCACAATTATTTGCCGCCTCATCAGGCGCACATGACTACAGTCGGCAATCGGCACACACAACTCTTTCCCAGTTTTCCGCCCAGCAGTCATGGCCTCCGTTACATGCGACGTTCCAGTCCTCTGACGTTACCCTCACCGCCACCGCCAAGTATGGCGACAACGCCGCAGGCCTCGCTACCGGCACAGCTAGAAAGTAATAGCAACAGCAGTACCATTGGTATACCATCTGAGCTGGAGTTTGCGCCAGGTCAACACTCGCAGCAGCTTCCACATTCGCATCAGCACATGCAGCACCCGGCATATATCGACTATAGCCAACAACAGACGCAGCACTATCCTTACAGCCTCGCTGGCGTGGCCGGGCCTGGAAATGGCATCATTTATGAAGGCGGCACCTTTCCGCGGAAGAAAGACAACCAACGTCTGCGTATTCCATCGAATCCCAGCGTGGCCAGCAACAGACAGAATAGCAGCAGCTTGGTCAAGAACAGCTCTGGTTCCATTGACCATCATTATGGTGCAAGCAGCAATTCCGGTCACACAGCTCTGCCGGTCTCGGTGATGAGCTCTGCGCTCCACACAAACTACGCCGCGAATGTAAATAGCATAAATGGTGGCGGCGGCGGAGGAGGCAGCGGAAGAGGCTCGCCCATGCCGCAGGTGCATGTGGAGGTACTTAGTCATGGCGGGCCAAGTGGAAGTGGCAAGCGCAGCGTCAATGTTGCCACGGATTTTCTATGCCCTGGAGACCTTAGAAGAGTCACGATCGATAAGCGCGACAAGTCGCTCGGCATTACTATACAGTGCAACAAAAATGGCGGCGGTATTTTTGTGTCCACAGTTGCCGACAAGAGTACCGCAATGCGTGCCGGTCTCCAGGTGGGCGATCAACTCTTGGAAGTCTGCGGCATCAACATGCGTGCAGCTACTAACGAAATAGCGGCAAATGTGCTGCGCCAGTGCGGCGATTCCTTTACAATGCTGGTGCAGTACAATCCAGAGAGTGAGTAGATATACCAATATTATATATAGTACAATGAGGGTTCCATTTAGACAATTTTGTAGTTGTTTTTTTTTTTTTCATTCTGGCTTTTAACTTAAAAGGAATCTTCTCTTCAACTAACTTATCTTTCAGAGTTTCACTCAACTGATTACGAGGGCATACACAACCTGGAACCAGAATCTCCCCTTAATCATTCAGGCTCGCCAACTCCCCGAAATTCCCCGCGACCGCCGGCTCGCAGTGTACAAACAACGTTGCCGATGCAGCAGCCGCTGACTTTACTGCCGTCCGCGGTATCCGTCACACGTGCGCCACTCTCTCATCAATCGATTAAGGATCAGAGCTTTACAGACAGCTTGGAAAATCAATCGGACATAAGCAGTAGCCAGGATATACCTTCATCGGCGGCCACAACGACCACTACGACTGCTTCGGCTACCTCAACCGTTTACGATGACGAAGCCAAGCTCACACTGCCCGCAGCTCCGCCATCACTGGCTGCCGAGGGTAAGTTCCACGAACGGAATCTATTTTGTTAATAAAATTAAGTGGGTTCCACATGGGAAAGCTATGCTAAGCTAAGCTAACTTAAAGCTAAGTCATAGATTTCTTATTGCAGAGATAATTTTTGTGATTAGATATTTTTGAAATTTCTAAATAAGAAATCCGAAAAGGGCAATAATTATTGAATAAACATGCTGTATATAATGAAACAGTTAACAACACACTCGCATAAATAAGGCATTCTTATTAGTTAACATAAGTTATTTTCAACACATTTTTAATACTCAAATATTTTGCAGCTTTGCGTTTTGTAACGCTTCACATGGATAAGTCAAAGAATCTGGGTATCAAACTGTTTGGAGGTAATAAGGTGGGAATCTACGTGCACGACGTTGCGCCCGGTTCACCATCAGATCACGCTGGCATACGTAAGGGTGACCTAATACTGGAGTACAATGGCGTCGATTTAAGCGGAGTTACCGCCGAACAGGCTGCAAATGAGATCTCCAAGCTGACCGACACTGTAACTATGCTAGTGCAAAACAAATTACAAAGTGAGTGGTATTTATACTGGTAAATTATTTCGATTTTATTTTTGCAATCCATTCTTTTAAGCTCTTAAGCAAATCAAGGATAAACCGGGCGATTCGTTCTATATACGTGTGGGGTTTGATCGCATTGGGGAATTAAACGAGGATGACTTGCGTTTCGTTAAAGACGAGGTACTTTATGTGGATAACACGGTGTTTAATGGCACGTTTGGTCTGTGGCGCGCTTGGAAATTAGATGCAATGGGACATCGGAAAGAGTGCGGCGTCATTCCAAGTCAAATGAAGTGAGTATTGTGTTACTACAACCTAGTTTAAGACCAATGGTTGTCTAGGATGTATGTTTTATATTGTAGTCTTATCATATTCACAAAAAAACTACTTTTCACTTTCGTTTTGCAGGGTGGAAGAGGAGCTGCGTTCGGGCGAGGTAGTGGACTGTGATACAGGCACTGCGCGACGCGGCAGCACCTCAGCCCGCCGTTCATTTTTTCGCCGCAAGAAAAACCAGCGTAGCTCTTCACGCGATTCAACGGAGATAGCAAGTTTTAGCAATACACAGCTAAGTTTCTTTCCCGACTCGGGCATTCTAAACGATGATGGTGGCGTTTTGAGCTATCAGCGTGTGGAGCTTCTGGACTGTAAGTCAATATTGTTCATAATGTTTGTTAACATAACTAATCGTATTTATTTTGCACAGCCCCCATACGTCGACCAGTGCTAATCATTGGACCGCTGTCAGAGTGCTTGATAGATCGTTTGAAAATCGATTTTTCCAATTTATTTAAGTTGTGCGAAGTAACGACCATGGACTGCTCACAGGAAGCCATGGAGGAGGGCCTCAAGGAGAATATATTCGTGGATTATCGCCGGCGTGGAAACAAATTCGAATGTACCACCGTAGAGGCCATTAGCAATGCGTGCAAGATTGTGAGTATCTGGTCAAATAACCACCCTTCAAGATTTTGACACATTCTTATGTCATGCAGGATCGGCGGCACTGCATCCTAGATGTATCGATCTCAGCTGTGGAGCGTCTGCAGCGTTTGCAAATCTATCCGATTGTACTGTTGCTTCGATTTAAGTCGGCGAAACAAATTCGCGATATACGCGACTTTGGCACCGACAAAATATCGGCTAAAGCAGCTAAGGAAATGTACGAGCGCGCACTTAAATTGGAGTTCGACTATAAGCAGTACATATCCGGTGAGTAATTGCTCTTGAACTATGCCCTACTACACTGTGAACTTCTGCAATACCCTGATTTTCGTATTTGGCTTGCCTTACACTCAAATTGCTATTACACTTAACTGGGCTTACATATTATATCAATGCTAACGATTTGGATATTAAAAGTTTATGGAAACCCTTTAGTTTTGTATCTGCAAGGAAACAAACCTAAACTTAAAATCTGCTAAATGAAGTCGAAATAAATTCGAATTGCCTTTCAATATCCGTGTCGTAAGAGTGATAGGTGATTGAAGAAGTTATTTTACTTTCTTTTTAAATAACTATAACTTAATGTCATTAACTTGTTTTATATTTATACAGCCGTTATTCCTGGAGTCAGCATCAAGCATATGTGCACACAGATCAAGGACGCTGTTGATAAGGAGCAGGACAAACTTCTCTGGGTGCCTGTTACAAATGGCTAGCACAATCAAACTAATAAATGAGATGCGATGTTTTTTTTTTAGATTCTATTAGTTTGCAGAAACTTCACAAGTATTTGTGTACAGTTATTATATTCGGTTTGCGTAACGTATAGTCGTTATGCTAAACACAATTTGCACTTATTTTGTTTGGATATAGGGCGCAGTATCTAGTATGTTTGTTCCATGTCTGATTTAATTTATATAATATTTTAATACTGTGGGAAAGTAGTTGTTTGTCTGGTCGAGTATTTTCAAAATGTTCATGTAATATTTCAAGTTTTGTTTAATTAAGCAATTCTGTTTTATTGCTTAAATTCATAATCTGCATTTTAAATTAAATTTTGTTGCAGTAAAAATTTTGCATTCATATCAATTGGACTATTATAGTTTACTTGATTCAAATAGTTTTGGGGCAATATTTGAATAATTCTTTAAATTACAAATATATATATAAAAAAGTGCCTTTTATAAAAAGAAAAGTGAAAGTATAAAATTAGTTATGATAATGCAGACTTAAAGTCTTTATTCTATGAACAAAGTGGATAATGACAACATGCTATTACTATTACGGTATTACTAAAAAAGTAAATGTAAAAACTGATACATAAAATGCCTTTAGCAATAAAGAAATGCTACAAAATTTAAATAAATCTAACAGAAAAGTAAAATATGAACGTATTAAATACACTATAATCTATTTTATATAAAATATACTTACATACGTAAGAATGTTATTACGCGTATATATTTTTGCAATAAATATTTTTTCAAAATTGTTATTCTGTTTTTTGTTGTTGTATTTTTTTAAATTTTTATTTACAGTTCAAAATATGTTTGTTTAAATAGTATGGCCACACGTCCGTCATGTAAAACTAAGAAAAATTATCCAAAGGAGCAATACTATTAAACGCATTGTCGTGACACATTCGTGTTTAGGAATGCTCTGTAAATGGTCGCTAGGAAAGACAATGTGTTGATCTATATGTACAATAACACAATGGCTTGCTTTACTTAATTATAGTTGATAGCCGTCGAATTATGCTAATCAACCGTTAAACTGTTTGAGAATATCAAGATAGAAGAAACTTAAAACGTTTAGTCTTATGAAAAACTTCTATCTTCATATTTTTTGGTTAGATTGGGGGTTTCACACTTAGTTTTCTGTACATTAAAGGGACTAGTCCAAAGTATTCTTCTGATAGGGTTGCAAATTTTTCGAATTTACATAACTAACCCTCGAAGAAATCAAACTCATCGCGTGGCCGATACCATTGATCGGTGGCATGCTCATAGATAGCACGCTGCACCTCCGTCTCGGCCACCTCAATGGCATCTAGATACGACTGAGGCAACGACTGTGGTGCATTAAAGCTGTTCTCCGATCGCGGACTGCGCGACGTTGCACGAAAATCCATTGGTATATTATAGCACTTGCATATACAGCTGGAGGGGAAGCGAAACCAGTCGGAGAAGATGCCGCGGCACTCGTTGTGAGGGTCGTAGGCCAGCAGACGATGGAGCCGGTACTGTTGCTCGCAACGACAGCCGTCTCGGCAGAACATCTGCTTGAACTCGTGTGTGCACTTCTCCCAGTGCACGTACTGCTCGAAGGGGTACAAGTTTAATAGAGCCAGTACTTCGCCACGCGTGTTATTCGCCCAGAATGGGGCAACCACTTCGTCCTTTACAGGACAAGCATTGCTGCATAAGAGAGAAAGTTAATGAAAGTGGCATCAGACGTGTGTCGAAGTAACCCTGAGTAACAGGCACTTACACTCCCCGCATATTACTGCTGACCGTCATCGGCTCCTGCTTCATGGCATCCTGGAAAAGCTGTCCTTCCCGCAATAGTCCAGATTTCGTAGAGCTAGTAGGCGCGGCTGTGCTGCTGGCTGTAAGTGGTTTCCGCTGTTTGTCAGAAGTAAACGCCGCGACTGTAGGCGAGAAGAGCGAGGCAAAGCTGGCGGATGTTGTAGTTCCCAATATCGTCTTGGTCACATTTCTGCGTGGGACCAACGCGGCCGTCGTGGTGGTGCTGTTGCTGAGCTTTGGTAGAGGTGCTATTGAAGTTGGTGTTGTGTTTGTTTGTGTTGCCTTATCGGATGCTGCTCCCGCAGACGTTTTCGACGTGTCACTCTCATTGGGGCTGTGCTTGCGATTGGGTACCGCTGCGCTGAGCTGAGATGCAGCTGTTGTGCTTGTTGCAGGCGTCACCGGAACAGGCGCGATGCTCAGATTGCGTAGGCCCTGGTCTACTTCCTGCACCAGTTCCAGCTGTGGTTTGTCAATGGTATTTATTTTGTCATCTGCGCCGTCTATGATCGTTCCTTGTGGGCGTCCTGCTGTACCTGTTGCTGCCGTAGTGTTCATCACATCGTAAACGCTGTTCGAGTCTAGACTCGGCTGCTCACCATCCGGATGCACAAATACAACTTCTGTCGGTGCACTCGACGTCTTCGAATTAGAGGAACTAGGCGTGGGTGCAGTCGATAACGTTGGCGCTGCGGTTGTTGTTGGTGTAGTTGTTGTGCTGGCTGTGGACACTGGTCGAAAATGCGGCTCCATGAGCACGTCGTTGCTCTTGTAGTTGGTAAATTCATCCCGATTGCTGTCCCTGCCATGCAACATATACTTGGCGCCACGAGGCGTCTTGGAATAGCGCTGTGTTGCATCATCCATGCTGTCCATATCGACCACCTCCTCGTTTTGAATCTCATCGCGTAGGATGGAAATGTGTCGTACGTCTCCATACATGCGCTTCATCAGACCCTGATTCTCGTGCACAAACCGGCGTACGGCGTGCCAAGGATAAATAGATCCTGGCAGATGGCAGAACGGCTGCTTGGCCAGGTCGCATGGTATTGCCGCAAGCATCTGGGCCCGCCCACGCCTAGATATTTTACCGTTCGGGCTGCACGAGTTGGCCGAGTCGAACCCAAAGCTGGAGGTACTATCAGACTGGGCCACTGTTGTTACGAGCAGAATCAAAAAAAAAAAATCCCACTACAATTGAAAACGAAGCAAAAACGTGATTAATACCAAATGCGTGTTTATCGAATAGATAATAATCTATTGATGTCTATGGAAATTGCGAGCTACAGAAAATGATCAACAGCAAGGAAAACTCCTATGCGAATCTGAACTAGAAGATATGTATTCAAGTCATTTTCGTATACAGGATAGGAAAACTATTGAAAATTGAGAAAACCTTTGTTTTTCAAATATCGTCAACAATCTCAACTATAGCTGCAATATGAACAATCGGTATACAACTGATAAACTCTTCAGTCTTGTGTGCACCTAACTGACAAATGCGGCCGGCTCTCACTTGGGTAAACAATGCGTTGCCGACGTGACGAGGCAAAACCCAAAAGCGGGAAGGCCCAAACGAGCTTCCGCCCCTCTCTCGTATATCTCATCAAATTTTACTTTCACGCAGTGCCAACTGCACAAGTCATATAGTTTGATCGATGTGCATTTGCATGCGGAGACGTATGGAGAATGGTCGCAATTACCTTGATTTATAGCGGGACTAGGCTCTCTAGCGTTGAGTGGCTAATGGCGAGCGTTAGAAAAGTGAAGTGGAGAGAGCAATTGTAAAAGAGAGAGGTTGGCCGAGTAAAAGTAAATTGCGGCAGAGTAAGCCTTTTGGTCAACTGTTCGTTTTGGTCCCTTTCAACTTTCCCTTTCTGTTGCACAATCGACGGAACAGGAGCACATGCTAAACAGCTCAAAGCCAAATTTTGTACTGTTTGCGCTTTTCCCGTCTCTGTTAAAACAGGTTTGCTTTTTGTATCTCAAAACTTATATCCATTTAGTTATCACTTTAGTGCGCATGAGTTTTTGTTTTTTTTTCAAAGTTTGAATGAATCACCAACATTGCGTGCTCTCCACAGAATTGAAAAGAAAGTGCTCTGCTCCCACAAATATATGTATATGGCTGTCCGTCCGACCAAGAAACTAACTTGCTTTCGGCGGCCGGTTAAGTAATGCAGTCTGTCCCATTGTGGATATTTGTATGTGAAATTTTGTGACTTCATCGATTTGCAAATAATTGTATGTAACTCTCTTTAGATAAATATTCGTTCAATTATGCGAATTGGTAGCTAGTAAAAGTGAATCTCAAATTTGAGCACGAGACCATAAATGTGTTGAGAAACAAACCTGCTTTCAAACTAATTTTGTGTACAGAATCGAATTAGGTCAGAGCACAACACAATCTGAAATGGAAAGCAAAAATGCTTTCGCTGCATTTAAGGCGATTTGTATGGGAACATATTTACCTACGTACATATATGTGCAGATGATACATTTATCAAGACGATTAAATAGAATATCATGCAACGACAAGCGCGAGTGGACACGGGAACGAGTCATATTTCTTGGTAGCCTGGTAGGCATAGAAAAAATAAAAAGAAAAAAAAGAAAAACGCCAAATGAAAATTGGAGCAACAGTCACGCCAGGCGGCTGTCAGCATGCGTCTCTAACAAATCAATATGTCCAATACGCCAAATCGACAATCCGGCAATTCGCCAATCCGACACGAGAGCGCTAAACGGGCCATTAAGTCAACTGGCATTGAGGAAGACATTTGTCACTCCATGTCGCGACGATGCTGTTAGATCGCAGCGCTTTAATGTGTCAGTGCGATTAGGATTGAGACTTTCTAAGAAGACTCCACCAAAAGCAGGCTACTGCCCACCAGCCCACCAGCTGCCCGCTGGCCGCCAATAGCCCGGCCAGCTGACAAGTAGTTAGTAGACGATTGCCGTTTATGTCTTCATTTCCTAAATACTCGCACAGTGCCATCGACAGTTGCCCGCAGACAGATCTGCCCAGGTCCCGCTGCGTATACAGCAGAATGAATTATTTATCAATTCAGAAGCCTACTGCAACTGACTACTGCAAATGAAGTTGATGTTACATTTAACCAAATTTGGTTTCGCTTATTGCCGTTTCTGTGCCTGCTAATTGCCATTGCCAGAGACCAACAGCCAACAGTCAACAGCATCAGGCTCTGGTGAAATTTACACGAAGCTTAGAAAAAGAAAGGCCCAGGCGAAGAACTTCAATGCAGCCTCATGCAAATATGCTGGCCATATAAATGTTAAATTTTCATTTGTGTCTGTGTTCATAAATATTGCTGCTAATTGTCAATGTGTTTTCACTTATCTAGCTTGCCGGAAAAGAAGACCAAATCCTAACACAGCTGGTATTCTAATTTGGCAAACAGAGTATTCCACTTGCTATTTACTTATATTTAGTTTTTCTCCCGACACATTTAAATTCATACAACGTCCCAAGAGTCAAATGGCGTCAAATTAAGAAATCGCTGCAAGCCAACAACGTTCGAAGAAAGTGAAATTTTTTATTTTATTTTTTTTTTTGTATTTATGTATCTCGCAACCGGTAATACAACAACACCAGGCGCAGAATAGGTTTTCGTCATGCTGGTTCGATACTCCAGTAATGGAGACATAATTCATTAAAATACATATATATATATATATGTATATATATAAACACGCTAACAATTTTAGTTGCAGGTCTGGTTGCCAATGAAGGTGAAATTTGGGTTCAAATGAATGTGCTTCAGCCATTTCTTGAGATCCAAAATGGGCTATATATAACGACCTGATAGAAAGAGTCCTGACACGGGTAAACCGATTCGATTGATGTCAATAAATATATATTTATTATCTTAGGGCCGCCCAAGGCCCAACAAATTAACACATATTATGTGACGCTGGTGGTAATTTACCGTTATTAGTTTTGTTACTTGCAATCCTCTATCCATATTTGCAAGATCCATTGTTTACTTTCACTTTGTTTGGCACTCGCACACAATCAATGCCAAAAGCGGCTTACATAAATTTCATAAAGGGATTTTGCACTGTTTCGCTTGATTTGTTTGTTTTTTTTTTTTTTTTTGGGCCGTAGCCTGATGGGTTACCAGTTTGGCTTTATCGCCAGCGTGGGTCACAGGTTATTAGCCAGCGTGTTTTGCATATAGATTTTGTTTTGGCTTGAGATTTGTGTTTACATAACTGCAAATCATAATATTCATAATAGTTAATATTGTAATTTTCATTTATGCACACTGTATTTTATACACACGCAAATCGTTTATTTCTGCAGTTCAGCTCAGCTGTCTTGGCTCGGCAGATCAACAGGCACACATAAACCAGAAGAGCGTTCACAATGGCGAGGCCCAGAATGAAATCACGTTTACACGCTTCGCACTCACGTTTGCAACTGCGTCGAGCGCTGCGGCGCACAAGAGCCACCGCACGCGGCGTCGGCAAATAGCGACAGCAGCGTCGACAGCGCCGACCCCACTGCGCGCCCGTAAAATCGGAACCCCAACTTAAGACAGAGCCAGAAAGACTGCCAAGCCGCGACGCAAGCGAAAACGCTTTCTATACCCTACACGTATTAACAAAAAAAAAAAAAAAATGGGCATGGGTATACCCATGTTTAAAATTTACGTAATATATAACAGCAAATCAAACGAATCGAGGCGTTATTAAAGGTGTTATTATCAAAAGCGTAAACGTGTTTAGCGTGTTAGCTAACCAAAACAAATAACACAAAAGGCACCCAACAAATAATTTCTTTGTCACTTCATATGGTGCCGGGTTTATTTACAGGGTATCGATGAGCAAGCATTGTCGTGTGGAGCAATCTTGTTATTTTTACGGCTCTGCATGGTTTTTTGCGATGGCAGGAAAACTTTTTCTTATTTATTATTCGAAACGTTAGCGTCGGACGGGCGCAGCAAAACACAAACATTGAAAAACAAGCGAGCGCCGCAGCAGCAGCAGCAGCAGCAGCAACGCCAAAAACACAATAACAACAACAAGCCACAGGCACAAAAAAGAGCCACACGCAACGGCAGCGACACGACGAGAGAGCAAAGCGCAGGCCCGAAGATGAAGATGGTACCCGAGACGAACCGAAGGCACGACTTTGCTGCTGATGCCGCTGCTTTTGCTGCTGTTGTTGTTGTTTTTGATTGTCGGTGCTGCTGGTGGGCAGCGGGAGCTTTGCCGAGCAGCGAAGACGATGACGCTGCTTAGTAGGTCAGTAGTGGCCTTTAACTTTGTTGGTGCTGCTGCTGCTGCTGTTGCTGGCGCTGGCGCTGGCGCTGTTGCTGATGTTTTTGTTGTTATATTTCTTGTTGCGTTGCATGTTTGTTACTATTCATTTAAACATAAGCTGCGAAAACTTGAGTCTGGAAGTGTGTAGTTGCTAGACGCAAGTTACGCAGCGGGTATACGGGTATACAGCTGTTTTTTAAAAACTCCTCCCACTGTAAATATCGATAGGTGTTAGGTAGTTCAGAAATATTTACCCACCCGAAGTTAAGTTATTTGAAATCGCACAGTTGCGAGCAACATAGTACCATAATTTACTAGTTATTACGGACAAAAACCTAACAATTGACTCCATGGTCCACAAGATTATATCAGCTTATTTTTATACAAAAGAAAACATACATATGTACCTATATATATATATAAATGTGCACTTACCCAAATAATTTTTTGGTGGAAGACGAGCAGACTTTTATATATTTACACATCCACTAAAAAAAACAAAAGATATGTAGATCAGATTAGAGTAAGGCTTTTAGAAAATAAAAGAAACAAGAAGAGATAGAGAGAGAGAGAGAGAGAGGATAAATTGCAAGAGTAATTCAGAGCAAGAGTATGAACAGAAGTAAAGGTTTAGCTTTTTTTTTTATAAAAACTAAAAATATGTTCATAAGCTAACTAATCTTATAAATGTAATGTTACCTTCCAGATATGGTGACTATATCGATTCAATAATAAATTAATTACGAGTTCCGAAGCAAAAACTGCATATCAAGTCATTTAAAATGTGATATTAAAAGTCTAATCTAAAGGGTATCTAACTGTAGATATGTGATTAATAATTTCATGTTTGGCCCTTGGCTCCAAGCATTACGTTTTCACATTTACTTCATGCGCCTTTGGTGTGCTTATGCGAATGTATGTGTGTAATACACACTCTACAATACTTGCGGTAAAATGAAAGTGCAGTTTTAATCTTCATGTATAATAAGGAAAATGAAAAGAAGAGTTTCTATGTTTAATATTTATGGAAGCAACGGTCCCTTGCCAACAAATATTATAAAAACAAATCAAGAGTTAGACATGCTGTTGTAAAATATACAATTTCTCATTCACAACAACTGAACAGGTGGTTATAATTTACAATTACAATTCTCTGTGGACGCCGACGACGCCAATATGTCTGAGCCAAGCAGATTCTGGTTCTGGGCGAGATGAAAGTTTGCGACTGGCTGGTTTGCTCTCATGCAACTGCAACTCAGTTCATTAGCATCATCTTTACGAATACTGTGAAGCAGGTGTAGTGCGTACTTACGAGAAGTTGTGTAGACTGACTAACATAGAGATTATATGTTTTAAATTTTAGCAAATAGACAAATAAATGTTCTACTTTCACCAGATAGTGAAGTGATCGGAGCAGACGCACGAAAGAACCACAAAGAGAAATTTGTGAAGCACAGATGCAAGACGAATTGTCAATGCAGATGGAAGCTTACAGTTGATACAATACCTGATAAGTTTTTATTAAAGAATAAGTACGTTGATAAATTAACTTCAATTTGTTGACAGTTTTTTAACTTGAAATCATTGTTAAGAATTCAAATTGTGGTTATATTATAGCAGAAAACATTTGCGAGGCTGACACACACCGAAGTTATATATCTGTCAGCTTTTGTTGCGTGATGGAAGTTGGTATCGATAGTTTGACTTAGCTTGCAGTTGCAATATATCGAAATATCGATATTATATTTTACATTAGTAAAAAAATAAAGAAAACAAAACAATTTAAGTTGCAATGGAATTCGCCGAAAACATGGATTTAGAAAATGATCGAGTGCTGAAATTAATATTTCCTAATGGCGTTCCAGGTTATTATAATCACTGTAAAGTCCATTGCCCCAGGGTACTACTTCATTGTTATTATTTTTCAACTCTCCAGAAAATCTGCGTGGCAATCCAGAGCTAGATAATTATTTGGTCAAATTGGGTACTTGCAAAGTGGAGCAACTGAAGAAAGAACAAACGAGGTTAGCTGATGAGACGAAGCGAATATTGGAGCAAACACAAGAACTAGCCATAACCAATTACAAAACCTTTATCACGACGGCGGAGAACTCCCGTTCGATATTTCACGAATTTCAGAAGGCCGAGGAGCAGGTGGACACACTTAAAGACAAACTGCCCACGTTCAGTGCTAAGTGCCATGAGTTTCTCAAAAAATCGGCGGAGCTAACTGAACAGCGTCGTCTGAATAGCACAACCCTTCACAAGAACGCTCAGCTGCTGGAGATACTCGAGCTGCCACAGCTGATGGAGCGCTGCATACGCGAAGGTCGCTACGAGGAAGCGCTTGAGCTGGCCAGCTACGTGCAGCGGCTGGGCCAGCACCAAGGACAAACCATACCCGTGGTGAATGTACGTGACAATTTCCACTCTCTCTTACCCGCCTCATGCAACAACATTTTTAATGCAGGGTATTGTGCGCTCCGTGGAGGCCCTATGGCATACCATGCTCGTGCAGCTTGTGGCACAGATGCGCATGGATCTGCAGCTGCCCAAGTGCTTGCAAATCGTCGGTTATCTGCGGCGCATGCAAGCTTTTGGTGACAACGAGTTAAAATTGAAGTTTTTACAGGCGCGTGACGCTTGGTTGACATCGTGTCTGGACGCCATTCCAAAAACAGACGGTACGCTAACTGGGCTGTTGAAAACATATTAAAAAATGATTACCTTATAGCTCAGCAGCATCTAACGAAGACTATAGAAATAACGCGTATAAATCTGTTCAATATAATTACACAATACCGCGCTATCTTTCCGGAGGGAGAGCAGGCAAGCAAGTCGGCCGGACTGAAGCAGCTGTCAGGTGTCAGCTGCAACGGACTTCGCCTGTTTGAAGCCTGGCTGCATAATAAGGTGGGATTCTCAAATGCTTATAGCTTAGCGGATATTATTTATATGTTTGTTTGCAGATTGACGCCTTTCTGTTGACACTCGAGGAAGACTTGCAACGCGGCATTAATTCAATTGAAACTGTGCTCGGGCAGTGTATGTATTTTGGACTATCCTTCAGTCGCATCGGTGCCGACTTTCGCGCATTGATTGCGCCCATTTTTGTACGCGTTGTGCGCAATAAGTTCGAGTCCAGCATTATTAAAGTTAACGAAAACTTTGATCGGGAGTTGGAAAAGTTTACGCTTATTAACAAGGTCAGCCTGCATACACGCAAGCAGCTGGACACAGCTGCTCTTTCCGGGAGTGAGCCGGACATGGAGTCATATGCACCGCCAGAGACGTTGCTGGACTTTTATCCGCTTGCCGTGCTCTGCAATGGTTATTTGAACGCGCTGAATGAGCTGCGCCTTTGTGCGCCTTTTGCTGTGGCTACAGATGTAACCAGTTGCTTGCAAAGGTCACTGGAGTTGGTAGCAAAACAAGTGCTCGCCTTCTATCGCCAAGAGCAGCAAGCATTTACTCGCAATGAACGCGAAACATTCGTTAAACTGTGCTCCTGTTTTGCCTACGACCTGGTGCCCTATGTGCAGCGCTGTATTCACGGCGTGTTCCCGCCTCAGTCAATAAGCGTGCACCTCGGCATAAGCCTGCTTCAGCTGGAGCAACACCAATTAACCTACTTGATGCAGGCTCAGATACTGGAACCGTTAAAGCATCTGCTGCCTACAAAAGTCCTAATCCATTCATCACCTCAGTCAACAGCGGAGCTTAGTAGTGTGTCTATTGCAACTGAGGGTTAAACAAATTTCAATCCCAAATAATATCATTAGGATTAATATAATTAATACCTTTTTGTGCTAGATCCAAAAATTAAACAATTAGCAAGTAGAAATGGGTCTGGTAATGTCAGTTACGAAACCTATGCCCCTCTTCTAATAATTGGCTATCGCACAATTAGGTCAAGGCTTAATTTATAAGATGCTGATCATCCGACAACATTTAATGATTTTAAAGAAACTGCATATTATATAAAAATAAAAAATTGCAAGGCAACTTTCAAATAAACAACTGTATGTAAATGTAAGTTTACAAGCGACTAAACTCGCAATTGGGCACAAACACATCGTGTGCGCTGGAGCGGGATGCAGTCTTTGCTCGAACATGTAGAGCCCACGAGAGTGCAATAATATTTTTACGCCACTGCGCGAACAATCAAAAAGCGACCCTCTACCAATTGTGCAGCCAAAGCCAAAATGGGGTATGCGTAGGTGGTGCGCGAAGCCTAGCAGCTAAAGCGCCGATATGGCAGGTCAGATTGAGTGCGGTTAGAGTGAGAGTGGGCGATGGTCGGCCGGTAACGTTTATAAGCAATTTCGCATACAATGACTAAATTTGGAGAAAGCCGTGCGCGTATTTTTCTTTGTTGCTGCTCTCGGCCGAATTCGAATGCGCTGTGCTGAAAATTGGAAAACATGGCAACTGAATACAAGGACACGGACTCGGACGCGAACCCGGACACGGATGTGGATGTGGATATGAATGTGGATGTGGACATGAGCGCGACTGCGGCTTATCGTTCGTTGAACGTCAGAGGCCGGACGCTTTGACGACCACGGCCTTTGTGGGTGCGGACGTTTCTGTATTTTTAAGTCCACCACTAAATACAAACGAAAGCACTCAAGCACAAGTTGGTCACGATTTGGAGCCAACCGCTACCCTG